AAAATTATATTGTTGGATGATATGTTGTTTGGTTTTTGTTAGGTTTCATGTCCTTCAAGAGTTTGATGAAGGTAAGAGAAGCTGTCGCAGACGGTTAGCTGGCCACAATAAAAGGAGGAGGAAAACAAATCCTGACACTGTTGTCAATGGCAATTCACTGAATGATGAGCAGACGAGTGGTTATCTTCTGTTAAGTCTTTTGAAGATACTTTCTAACATGCATTGTAAGTAACTTGATGGCTTTCATAGTACAACCAATTCTAGTGGGTATATATATGTTGGTTATAACCTTTCCTTTTTTCTCTGAACAATGGGGCTCGTTTTGCTGTTGATATTTCATATTACGCAATTATTTTCCCTAATGTTTTGGGGACATAAGGCGATATGATGGCTATGTTTATCATGTACCTTCTCTGAAATCTATATTTTAGGTGAACTTAGAAGTTAGATATATAATAGCTGGCATGATTTAGGTATAATATTTTTGCCTGGAATATTTTGTTTTTCTTTATGCATTACACAGGGTGAATGATTCTACTTTTCTTAAATTACAGCTAACAGATCTGACCAGACTAAAGATCAAGATGTGCTATCTCATCTTCTAAGGAGCCTTGCAAACCATACTGGTGAACAAGGGGGAAGAAACATGTCTGGGCTGTTGCCACAACCTCAAGATTCAGAAGCTGTTTCGGCTTTGTTTTCGAATGGCCAAGGCCCTCCTCGGCCTTTCAAGCAACACCTCACTGGAGCTGCATCAGAGATGGCAGAGAAAGGAGTAAGTTCTCGCGGTACTAGGGGCGTCGAAGTCCAAGGCAGTACAGCTGTAGCTGTCAAGATGAATAATTTTGATTTGAATGACGTATACATTGACTCAGATGATGGCACAGATGACATAGAGAGGTCACCTGTAGCTGTGAATACAGGGACTAGCTCTCTTGATTGTCCTTCGTGGATCCAACAGGACTCTCATCAGTCAAGTCCACCTCAGACCAGTGGGAATTCAGATTCAGCCTCTGCACAATCACCTTCTAGTTCCAGCGGTGATGCTCAGGTATCTCAATGTTGCATAATATGCATGATTGTATGGCATTTATCAATTAAAACTCCATGAATTACTCTTTATAGGACATTTGCTAGATTGCTTGATTTGTGGAGGAGGTTCAAATTACGCCTCAAGTTTATGCTCTAGGAGTGCTAATAGTTAGCTAGTCAAGCCTCAATCACTGAACAACTCCTCAAAGTGGTCAGAATGGACCAGGTTATGGCCTCATTGAGAATCATGTGTGGCAAAGTTTAGCATGATTATGCTATCCTCAGCTAGTGACTTCAAAGATTTCCTGACGGTGTCTAAAAAATATAACATAGGCAGAGAGTTTATCTCTTGTGTCATGACAAGCGATTACAACTGAATATTTTGATGATCCATCTTCTCTGTTGAATAATATATCTAGTGTCATAAAATTATATGTTATTCAATTTTTAACCACTGATGATGTGTTTTTGACTTTGATCGTTGCAGAGCCGTACAGATAGGATTGTGTTTAAATTATTTGGGAAAGAACCAAATGATTTTCCTAAGGTCTTGCGAGCACAGGTACTCAAAAGTTTTTGAATATGAGTATTTTGTGTTTGCTTCCTCAGAAAGTATGCTTATGTAAATGTTTGAACTTTCAGATTCTTGACTGGCTATCTCATAGTCCCACTGACATTGAGAGCTATATTAGGCCTGGTTGCATTGTTCTGACAATTTACCTTCATCAAGAAGAGGCTGCTTGGGATGAAGTAAGCTTGGTTTGCGTGAAACTATGGATTTTTATCTTCTTTGCTTTTAAATTCTATTTTCATAATTTTAATCCCCTGTCATCTTTTTTGTCAGCTTCGCTGTGATCTGAGTTTCACTTTGAGTCGGCTTCTGGATTGTTCAGATGACACTTTCTGGAGGAGTGGATGGATTTATATAAGAGTGCAAGATCAGATAGCATTCATTTATAATGGTCTGTTTGGTCTTTTATCTTTATCTTTAATGGTACTTATTTAATTGCTATGACCAAATAATTGGCAAGCAAGAGCACTTTTATACGCAGGATTGAATATTCTGACCAGTTTATTTTTATGCTGCAGGTCAGGTTGTTGTGGATACATCTTTACCTCTCAGAAGCAACCATTATAGCCAAATTACAAGTGTCAAACCAATTGCAATATCTGCAACTGAGAGAGTTCAATTTTCAGTTAAAGGTATCAATCTGTCTCGGCCAGCCACAAGGTATTTTTCACTCTTTTCTTGCAGTCAATCTTTCTTGTGTCATTTTAACCCTCAAGGGCTTGAATTGGTCCTTAAGAGTGCATATGAAATTAGATTTAATTTAGTGTATTTTATGTTTTGAATTGGATTTCTATGGTTACTCTAGAGCCTTTTTATATTCTTGGATTTCCTATCCCAGGTTGCTTTGTGCTGTAGAAGGGAAGTATCTGTTACAGGAAACTACTAATGAGTTGATGGATGGAAATGACGATTACAAGGAGCAAGATGAGCTTCAGTGTGTTAACTTTTCTTGCTCTATCCCTACTGTGACTGGAAGAGGATTCATTGAGGTGGTCATTTCTTCTACTACTTATTACAGAGCTCCTCCTCCTCCCTTGCTGTTATGTTTGACACAGATTATATGTGAATAGTAAAGTTCCTTTGACGTATTGTAGTGAGAGGTTACAATGTAGATTGTTGCTAATTGGTGTAGTGTAAATACATCCCGGTTGGTATCAACTTTATCACTTCATTGAGGTTATCTGTTGTAATTTTCCCTCACATGAAATTCCATCTTACTTTGGGGGACTGCCATGGGTGGGGGTGGGGGGAGGAGCGACCTAGGATAATGAGTGTGAGACAAATGGCGTGAATTTTGATGCTTAGCTGCTTCCACAACTTTTATAAATTTATGGCTGCTCTAGTATAATTGTATTTATGGTGAAACTGTAGAGAAAGATGTAGAAGCTTGACTCTTTCTGGTTTTCCTCTTGCACTGTAATCTCCAGTCACCATACTCTTTTCATGGAGTGGGAAAAAATATAGAATCTACTGTAATTTCTGTCTTTGCTTCCGTTTCTTTTTCTAAATGCATGTGATAAAAGATGCATATTATATAATTTATTCTGAGTATGCCTTTCATTTCGCTGAAGTTAGCATTTCCTTGATATTCTCCAGATTGAAGATCATGGTTTCAGTAGCAGTTTCTTCCCTTTCATAGTGGCTGAGGAAGATGTTTGTTCAGAGATCCGTATGCTTGAGAGTGTGCTGGAGATTTCTGACACTGATGCAGATGTTGGCGAAACTGGAAAATTGGAAGCCAAACATCAAGCCATGGACTTCATTCATGAAGTTGGTTGGCTTCTTCATAGATGCCAATCGAAGTCTAGATTGGGGCACGTGGATCCCAACCCAGAACCCTTTCCTTTAAGGCGGTTCAAGTGGCTGATGGAATTCTCAATGGACCGTGAATGGTGTGCTGTAGTGAAGAAACTCTTAAATATTCTTCTTAATGGAGTAGTGGGTTCAGGGGAGCACCCTTCCCTTAACCTTGCATTAACAGAGATGGGTCTTCTTCACAGAGCTGTTCGGAAAAATTGTAGACCTCTAGTGGAGCTCCTTTTAAGATTTGTCCCTGAGAAAGCTTCAGATAAATTAGGATTTGAAAACGAGACATTAACTGGTGTCGTTCATAAAAGCTTCATGTTTAGACCTGATGTTCTAGGCCCTGCAGGTTTGACTCCTCTTCACATTGCGGCTGGTAAAGATGGTTCTGAGGACGTGCTGGATGCATTGACTGATGATCCTGGAAAGGTAATCCCTTGTCTTAATAATTTATTTCTGAGCATGACAGGAAGGGATCTATAGGAATTTTATTCCCATTATCTAGCATGAATTTTGATGATCTTCCCTGTATCTCATTCAATCTGGAATCTGTCTGCCATGGTCTATTCTAAGGTTGGATTGTAAAGTGCAAAATGCCCACCATGAAAACAATTGCTTGATTCAAAATTGCTAGGGGTACAATTTTGTGATAAACCAAACACACTTCCACAAGAATTTGAACATGGGCTCTTTGCTCTGAAATGTCCTCTGAAGCTAAGACTGAAAGTGGTTAACCGATAAGTCTGAGCACAGTTCTATTTTTTTCTTTTTTGGGTTAAATTTCTTTTGAAAAACAATCGTGTATTCTCAATTCAGGTTGGCATTGATGCTTGGAAGAGTGCTCGAGACAGCACTGGCTCTACACCAGAAGATTATGCTCGCTTACGTGGCCACTACTCATACATCCACCTGGTACAGAAGAAAATTAATAAGAGAACAGCTTCTGGGCATGTGGTGGTTGACATTCCTCGTGCCCTCTCAGAGTGCAGCATGAACCAGAAGCAGAATAATGAGTCAACCTCCAGCTTTGAGATTGGCCAGCTTGAATTGAGATCCATGCAACGGCATTGCAAGCTTTGTGATCAGAAGCTGGCTTATGGCTGTGGAACAACCAGCAGGTCATTGGTTTACAGGCCTGCAATGCTCTCCATGGTAGCCATTGCTGCAGTCTGCGTCTGTGTTGCTCTACTATTTAAGAGCTGCCCTGAAGTTCTTTACGTATTCCGACCCTTCAGGTGGGAATTGTTGGACTACGGAACAAGCTGAAGTCCAGTAACTCCCAAAATCCGTCACATATAATAGGTGGTTTGTATTTGTATCCGTTTATAATAGACTGTAAAGTTGGGATCGGTGTACAACACCAGAGTTTGGACTCAGTTTTCTTATGCAGTAATATTATTGACATATATATATATATATATTTATTTGTTGTTCAGTTATAGATGTAATGTTATCTGGGTATTAACATAATAAGATATGCATAGGTCTCTCTCTGGGGTCTGAGGTTCCTGACTTTGACATTTGACAGCGGGAGAGTTAGCATTGTAACCATTATTTTATGTCGTTACAATAATGAAAGTCTGTGTTGCTGCAGCACAAGGAACTCCTGCTGGAGGATGATTAATATACCCCCACCCCAACGCCGGCGGCCCCCCTCTTTTTCTTATTATTTCTCCTTATTATGACTGATTTTTTGATCTTTTCAAGGATATCAAGTTCCCATGATAATTGTTTGTCCTAAAGTGTTCCTTAACCAACCAACAATGTCGTTTTATTGTGTTTTCCTCAGGTAAAAACCAAGAAGGATTTCAACACTTACTGGTTACTTACAGTAAATGCAATGGATCCTTTTTCGTTTTTAGACAGGTTGGGGTGCTTAGTTTTACCAACGGTCGGCATTTTTCTCTTGTGAGTGGCTTGGTAATTGTGTACAAAATAACCAAAGTACATTAAGAAGAAACCGACGGCTAGAGTCCCCCCGAATGTCCGCTCGAAGTTCTAACATGTCTGGAGAAAACTCTCATCTTCCTCGACAAATGCAGCAGAGCTACTTTGTGAAGTATGACCCACTGATTGCCCAAGCAATAATTCACGTGAAGACAAAGGCTCTTCTCCTGTGAGCACTTTTCCACTCCTTTTCTTTATACTTTTTCCCTTACATTACAAAAAAATAATTCGGGCCTTTTAACAGTTCGCTTGATGCCAAATTGGCAATGCCCCGACGATTGATTAAACATGTTTCAGTGGCATAATGTTCGGTTTTCTAGGTGGCTTTCTGGTTCTTAGGACAAATTTTAAGTGAAAACCAGTGGATAAACTCTACCTAAAGCAGAATAGGATGACTCTGACACTGACTGACAAGTGCTCAATGGCAGAAACTGTCTTTGTTAGACTAACAGTTGGTATCTATATATAGACGATAGAATTGTTTGATATGGTTACAGGACCTGATTGTAGGGATATATACACAATCAATTGGCAAAATAAATTTACATTTTACAGAAACTTGCCTGAGAGGTTAGAAATTCAAACAGAAGCAGGTTTTTATCTGCTTTGAAAGTTTAGTTTCGCTATACCATATGTAAAAACAGATGCAAATACAAGTGGAAAAGCAAGTAATGCTATTGCTATGATGGGTAAATCTTGGTGTTTATACCCATACTTTTTTTTTTTTGAAAGTTAAATATAGATTGACTTCATATCAAAAGGATTGATCCCAATTACACAAAAAGAGAAGGAACCTGACCAAGAATCTGCCTAGGATCCAACTCGATGGCTGGCTTACAAAAATTGGCCAGCAGTGACTTAATCTGTACAAAGTTATTGACAAGCAGCTGTACATAAAACACAGCAAGAGGCCGCAATCAGCTCTGAACAAAAGAAACATGGGAAAAGAAGAAGAGGAAACATAACCGTTGAAAATGTTTCTTCCTCTTGCAAATCAGTCAAAGTCATTCCCTTTGACTGATACTGGCTGTCCAAGAAGGCGTTGAGTGCTTTTTCCTCTCCGAATGCTATGATTTCATCCTTTATATCTCCATATTGTGAAGTCAGGAGACCTTTCAGGGACCACGAAGTTGGGCAAATCCAGTAGCCCCAAACCCACCATTTAGGAAATTTCTGCAAGTTAAAAGGTAGCATATATGAGTTTCTTTAGATATATCTGTAAAAACGAATGAACTATTGATGGTTTCTGAAATGCAAATGAAGCACCAATTTAGTTTATGAAGTGTTTAAGCTGAATCATGTGCTCCTTATCATTATTCTAATCATCCTGCAATTTATAGGTCTCTAGTTGATGAATTTTATTGGAAATTGTAATTGAGTTTGGCTCAGCAAGTCATGAGAGCATTGGCTTACCGGTCCTGGTATGAGGTACCCTGAGAACAAGCTCAGCAACGTGTAACAGAGGCTTGCAAATATTGTAGCCCCTTGATACGTTGGCGTCAATGAAACTAGCATCATGCCTAAATATTTGTAGTAAAGCAGTGTACAAAACATGGTGTTGAAGTACCAAAATACTTTGTAAGCTGATCCATAGAAGTTTACAGCTGGATAGGTGATTGTCAGGAATAATACTGCTTCAAGAAAGATATATGGAATCTCGATAATCACCTGCAAATATGAAGGAGCAAATTTTTACTAAGATATATGACCTTCAAGATCTCATATTAACCCTTGTAAATGCTTCAAAGGCTTTATAAATTGTTGGACCTGTGCCAATGAATATGCCCATGAGGAGTACATCCTGGCGAATCTTTCACGGTAGAAGATTGTCCGTTGAGTAGCTATGAATGGAAGAACAGATGAACAATTGCTTATTCCAGTGAATATCATGAAAACGTACATTGATCCCATTATGTTGAAAAAATCCTGTTCATCTTGTCTATAGAAAGGGGAATAGAATGTCAGCACGTCATTTGGTAAGTTTATAATCTAATATACTTCAAGCAATTTAGTTTTGTAGTTTTAAATGTAGTTTCTCAATACATGTGATTTTAGTTTGGAGTAAAATTCATATAAAATCAGATTCTTTCTCTTTCCACCAAGCAGCTTTCTTTTAATCGAGTTAGGAGATTTAACTATGTGATATGGTATTCAATGCATTCTTTTGGGACATGAGTTGTTAGGGTATGCTAAATGACACTTACTAATTATCTTGATATGATGAGTCATGACTTAATCCCATTGCTTAATTTTATTGCTAATCTGTTATATTCTAGTTTGTACGTCCTTACTGCCTTCTCTTACTCTTGCCTCCTCAATCTTCTTTAAATTGAAGCATGAGGAGACATTAGCACTACTTTTTCCTTTCCTCTTTCAGCATTGTATTCTATCCTTGTAAAATAAAGCCACCGATTTTAATAGGAAAGTTGATGTCCACTGCAAAATGGTTCAAGAAGAAGATATGTTCTAGTGAATGTTTTTGAAATAATAAGTATAATGCTTTCCTTATCAAAGGAGAATACATTCTTGGGCATGTATATATAGATGTAGTTAGATTGGTAGAATGCTTGGGAGTAGTTAGACTGACAAAATGATACAATAAAATTTCTTTTTGGGTTCAAAAATTTTATTTAGTTAGACAAGGCAAAGATGTGCAAATTTATGTAGTCCTATGAGAATATCCTACAACCATATTTCTTAGGAGCTTCTCAATGATCAACTTATTTTGTAAAGATACATTTTATGTTAATTCTATAACATAACTCTTGGTGAAGATTCATAAATGAGTGTTTCCTAGCTTAGCTATGTGATCATGGTGTTTATATGATTGGCAATAATAGTAAACAGAAAAAAAAGAGGGGTCGAAAGCAGCTTACCAGTTCTGTCGCAGCTTACCAGTTGTCCTTTCTGCCAAAGTAATGCTCCATATAACCAAGAAGATAAAATAGTAAATGCCAAGCGTACTAAATTGTATTTGGGACTTCTCCAATAGGACAAGTGTTCTTTCCAAAGATATGCTTTGACTTGCTCCCATCCATTTTGTGGAAAGGGTGTAGAAAAATGTAGTTGCTCTGAACCCTGTGCTGGAAGGCTTAGGCCTTTGACTATTTCTTTGTTTCTCCTACAGATAAAGGAACGTGTATCATTTGTAATGATAAACAAAAGTTAGGCACCAGAAACCTTATTTGATAAGGCTTTGTTATCTAAAAATAACCCTGGTTAGTGGTGAAACCTAGACATCTAAATAGTTTTTTGAACTCATTTGGAATAATGAACTTCCTGGTAGAGATGAGATTCTTTGTAGAAATGGGCAAAGTCTATTCCAAGTTGCGCCTCTACAGGAGTAGTGGCTTCTAACATCCACGTTGCTGGGTTATGGTTTTCTTTAATTTTTGGTACTCTAGGTATACCCTGCCAGAAGGGTGTCAAATGTTGTCATGAGCAATGGATGAGTTAAAGAAAGTTGCTACAGAAAGGCCATTATATTTACTCAGGTGCTATTCCTTCATTGTAATATCATTTTCATGACTAGCATGGCAACAATCGTATAGCAAGAAAGCATGTAGACATGTAATGCAAAATAAACTTTACATAGTGATATTCTTTGTCAGGATTACCTCAAAGTATTGAATAAGCCTACTCGAATGCTGACCCAGTTCCCCAGAATATATCATTTGTCCTCCTCTTTTCATTAAAATGAGCTGTAAGGATATACACATGTTATGTAAAGTTAAATATAGCACCCAATAACATTTGCTTAGGTCTGAATGCTTCCATCCTAATAAGTTAGCATATTTTCTCCACTTCTAGTAATTTCATAAAGTAGAAGCAAGATGAAAATTAACTTGCATCTAATTAACAAACTTTTGGTGAGAGTTTTTCTAGTAATGTAATAATTGGCCCAACCGTTGGATTTTTCATGTTCTTTAGCTTATGAGGATCCAAACGTAATAGGAGTAAGCTTTGACAGCCTTTCTTTTGTGTTTATGGTCTTTCTGCCTGATTAAATCATGTCCAATAACATATAATAGTACATATAAAATATTTAAAATGTGGAAAAAATCAGAATAATTCTTTTGAAAGACTAAGTTTTAATTTTTATTAGAAGAAATAGTTATTATGTATGTGAATCTGCCGGTTAATTACCTTGTCAAATGCTTCAAATATGTCAATACTTGGCTGATGAATGGTGCATACAATTGTCCTGTTTGTGTTAACAATATTCTTCATAACCCGCATGACAATTGCAGCTGCTCTGGCATCTAAACCAGAGGTGGGCTCATCCATAAATATTATGGATGGATTAGAAACAAGTTCTACTGCTATAGTTAGCCGTTTACGCTGCTGTGGTGATATTCCACTTACAAGAGGGATGCCAACTAAAGCATCCTTGATATCATCCAGTTCAATCATTTGAAGAACCTCTGCTACAAATTCCTGTTAGATAGGTAAGTTGAGTTAAACATTTTGAAGCAGTTTATTTTCATAATCATGACATAATTCTAGCATGTATGCAAGTCCTAGGGACATTTTAAGCCAGTATGACACCTTTCTGGGTGATGACTCGCTATTATGGATTAATTTTTTACACATTCTTTTTGCTTCATCAAATGAGAATACTGTCTTATCAGTCAAAAAAGTCACGTGTATGACTATATCTCAGTTTATATATACATTTTCCAGTTCAATGCTATAGTCTAAGAGCACTGCTTCAATGGTCAACAGATCCTTTCTATATATAAAGGTGATGCAGTGGGTAGGGACAGGTCTTGAGTTTTGGATCTTTGCTTAGCAATTGTATGCTATTTAATGATTAACCTATGCAAAACTGAATAAAGTTTGAACATGTCTTACCGATCTTTTATGCTCATCAATCTCAGCTGGTAGACGTAACCAAGCTGAGTACCTCACTGATTCCTCTACTGTAATCAGTGGAGAATGGATGTCAGTTTGCTCACAATAAGCTTATATTATAGCATATGTCTCCTGGGCTTTGGGGTACCCTCCAATTCTCATCTCCCCTTCAATATGACCTCCAGTTTTTCTCCCTGAAAGTACATCCATTAGTGTTGTTTTCCCAGCTCCACTAACACCCATCAAAGCTGTAAGAATTCCAGACCTAAATGCACCATTTATATCTTGAAGAAGCTGCAGTCTTTTTTGTGGAAACCCTTTTTCTCTCAGTTTCTGGAAATGCATAGAAGATGTTTGAAAATATTGTAGTTATATTTAGAAATTGTGGGAAATGTCTTGAGGAATAACATAGTTACCTTAGGAGTATCAACAAAGTATTGCACGTTCTCAAATGATATCGTTATGGGCTCAAAAGGTAAAACCATCCCTGTAATAAAGGAATGTGATTGTTGTATTACAGTACAGAAAAATTACATACTAACCTATATTGTTTGTTTATAGTATATGACATCTGGCAAATGCTCTGATGATATTATGTGCTACACAGAAGAGCTTCTCACCCATAGTTTTTGTTTCTGGCACAGCTTTTAGAGAGTCAACACTAGGCAATTCTTTTTCCTGAACTCTGTCAGTCAAATCCTCTTTTCCCTTTAGATAGGAAAATCTTTCATGAGAAATAATAGCCCGAGAACTCCCTGGAGCTGCATCAGCATAGACAGGTTAGTACTTATAAATTTGATTTCCTTTATGCCTGTTTTTGTATCATTCTTTTCTTGTATGTGCATGTTAGTGTAAAGCTTACACTTTAAAAGGCTCAATGCGAAGGTGAATCCAATGTTAAAAATCATCCAGAATCCCATTAATGCTCCTATTGATATCCAATAATAGTAGTCTCTGAAGTTTAATCCGCGTTTACTTAGAACTTGCTGTCCTAAGGTGGCATTTGAAGTTGAAACCTGTGGTGAACAATGACCAGAAAACATGGAGTGTAAGTAGAGATATGCTGATCTGCATTTGACCAACAGATATAAGTAGTTTTTCTTTCACCTTTTGCCACCTTGGAGCCAGAAATTCATTTACTGCAATACCTATTTCAGAATATGCAAGTGGTGAAAGCCAAAATCCCCATTCTACCCAAGCTGGTAGTAAAGCTGCAGTGAGGAAAGGTTTGAAATATTAATACGAGTACTTTTGTATCTTTAGAATTTCTTCATATAAGTAATGAATGGCCTTATGTCTTGGAATTATGAAGCCACCGAATAAAAATGTCACCAATAATGTAAAAAGACCAAAATTTGCTGCAAAAGATGGATCCCTAACAACTGAAGCAATTAAATGGAATAGTGATACTGCCACTTGATGCACAAGGAAAAGGAGGAGGAGTTGACGGAAGAACCTGATAATAGTACTTGGCTTAGAAGATGACATTCATTACATATTTATCTACTTTAACATATTTTTCAAAGAAAATTCTGTTTAACAGAACAAACCTTTCTGGTTCAGGACTGTAACCAATCACATTGTACATAACAGCTGTCCACAGAAAAGCATCTAGCAATGAAAATGGAATCTTTAGAATAGCAGCTGGAATGGAATAAGCCCATGCTGGGTAGAAGTAGAAATCTCTTTGCTTATAGAAAACGGAAAGTCTGGAAACAGTTATTGCCAACTCTGCAATTTCATTGCACATAAGTCTTATGACAGCATAAAACAGGGAACCCAGGTAATAGCTTGCATGGACTATGTCAAGTTTCATTCGAGTGCAAATAAAAATTGTCATGATAGCTATTATGACTATAATCCTTCAATAGAAATTGCCTGTTAAAGCAGATTATAGTCAGAAATGGCTCCAAAGGAACAGTATCAGGCCCTGCAAAGTGGTAACCGGATAACTATTTCTTGTGAATTGATTACCTTCATGTATGTGTCTATATCTGGTTCTGGGACAATGCCAGATTGCTTTCTCCCTTCGACTGACTTCTTTTAACATATCTTCGTTGGTAGAAAACTTTGAAGATCAGTTTATTATTGCAAAGGTATGATTGTTGGTACAAGATGCAAAGTGATATCTACCTGCTCTGCTTCCAATGCCCTGGCAACGAGCTGTGAAGTCAAGTATTTCTCTTACAGTCATTTCAGCAATGTGTAGGTCATATTGACTTATGTAAGCAGATGTTTTCTGAGGGACAAACTCTGTGAACTTGTAACCATTGTAAGATATTTCTCCTGTGACCTGAAATAAAAATTATTCTCCAAGATTGATTGTTGTTCAATCCACAAATTTATGTTATTATTTTAAAACTTATGAGATATCATTTGGTTGTAGTTTTCTAATCTATCATTAAAATTTTTCCTTTTATTGCTGATGTTAACTGATGCTGATTATTCACATTGCTACTCCCATGAGGGTTTTGATGGACAGGTACAAAACCTTGAGAGATGGGTTAAGCTTCCCTGCAAGTGCCTGCAACAAAGTGGTCTTTCCACAGCCTGGAGGGCCAAACAATAGAGTCATCCTGCATAAAAGTGAGTTTATGACAGCATATCGATTACTGTGTTGGTACTATTGTTCTCCAAAAAAGGTGCCGTAAACTCATTGGCCTAATCATGCACAGATGACATGAATGTGTATAAGTCAATATCCCGGGTGAAACCTAGAGGGCTTGATGATGCCGCTGACATCTTTGAGAATTTTTATCTTGTATGATTGGGACTTGCATCTGCTAACATTTGTCAAAGCCTGTTCATCATAAATCTCCTTCGTTACTGGATGACATTAAGCTGTCATGTGTTTGAAACATATTTACGGCCAGCTTGTTGTGAACAAGTAAGAGGCCATTCATGAAGGTCAAACCAATATATTGCTATTTTCAATGTAATGAAAGTGAAGTGCTTTTAGTCAAAAAGAAAAGATTATTCCAGTTGTTAACTTTCTAAGGCAAAGACTTTCCCTGTGTTTTAGCATAGGTAAACAATCCCATCATGATTTGGGTAAGGAAGCAATATTTTCTTTTAGTAGGTAAGCGATTAAGATATAGAAAATTCAGTGTTTTGGAAACATAATCTATCAATTTGGATTAATGAAAATTACTTCTTCTTCAAAATTATTTTCAGTGCCAAACACAGAAGTTGTGGGACAAGTTGCAAAGAAGTGATTAAAACTTATAGAGAGTGCACTGCAGATGGTGTTCCAAAGAGTAGGGAGGGGGCCTTCCATGAACGACTTCACATTCTGCTTCCACTGACGAATTCTGGAATCTCACTTCCATAGTTGGCAATTCCAACCCCACTCTAATCACAAAATGTCACTTTCAGTTGGTAGTCATGTTTCCCATAGAATAATTTCTTTGGATGATTTGTGCATAAATCAATTGCGCATTGATATATAGATAGTTAGAGACATCATGCATGCATGAGCATCGATCATGCTTATATAGTTTTGCTTCAGTCAGCATTAATTAAATACGAGTCCGACGTTTTAACTTTTATCACTTGTTGAACGAAGGATCAAAGCTTAAAAGATCTCCTTTTTTGTTTGAATGCAAGTCTTATTGCAAACGTTGGTAAAATTTTGTTAACTATTGAACTTTACTACTTTGTGTAGCTATTTCGGGTTTAAATACATATTTTCAAAAGTAAAATATATTGATGTTTAATTTTTGATCATAATATTTAAATATAAAATATCTAATATACTTTTACACCAATCGATCATCCACGATTGTATTTGGCCTCTCTCCAAGAGATGCGAGATCTAAGAGAGATGCATATAGTAGAGCATCCTAGATCTTGCGCTTCGTCAAATTCGATCATTGTGGCTGGCCAAAAAATGATTTTTTTAATAAAAGATAAAAAATTCTAAAAATAAAAAATTATAATTTATATAATAGTAATTTATATGTTTAAGAAAAATATTTTTAGAAATGAATTGTTTATTTTAAATAGTAATAAATTAATTATAACCAAAAGTTAAAGGGTGAGTGTTATTTACTTAATTTTCAATGCTTATGCATGCGTGAGTAATGAAGACATACAAGATGCGTCAAGGTTCTTGCTTGTCTATTCTTTCTTTCAGTTTCTTCAAAAGGCGGAGGTTATCGTCCTCGATTTTGGTAATCAGTTTCTCGACGAAAACGTGGTGTTCTAAAGCTCCAAGCTCCATAACATTGATCACCTTCCTGCCATCCTTATCTTCTTTGCCGTTATTTAAAAGCTTGTGATCGAACAGTTTACAGATGTCTGTGGTCACCTTGTTGGCTGTCATTGACGCGATCACCCTTAAAGCAGCAAATTCAACCTTACTACTTAGGGCATCTACTGCACGATTCGATTTCCCAACTTTATGCTCGAGGGAAAAATCAAACTCGACTAGAAATTCTTGCCATTTTGCTTGCTTAGCGGTAAGTTTTGGTTGTGTGAATAAGTGACTCACAACTGTATTGTCAGTCTTAACCACAAATTGTGATCCTAGCAAATAATGTGGCCAACCCCCGTGGACAATGGATCACTGCAAGTAACTCTTTCTCTTGTGCCGTGTATCTCCTTTCAACTAAGGAGTGGAAGAAAAACATTGAGATTGCTAGAACTTATTTAGGGAAAGCCTCCAGCTGGATGAAGGAGAGGGCATATAAAGGTCAAAGGGAGCAACATTTCAAGATGGGAGACCTAGTGTTGGTGAAGGTGGTACTTGAACAACTTCGATTCCTAAGGAAGAGAGATCGAAGATTAGTGAGGAAGTATGAAGGTCCAATCCCGGTGATAGCCAAGGTAAGAGGACTTTCTATAGGATTGATCCATCCAAGTGGATGAAGGAACACCCCGTGTTTCATGTTAGCAATCTAAAGCCATTCTATGCAGATCCAATAGATACAAGTAGACGTCAAGCTACTAGAGCCACCATCAGCACCAAGCCACCATCACAGCGCCAAGTGGAGGAGATTTTGGCAAAAAGGACGACTACCATCAACCGACGACCGACACAGGAGTATCTGGTGAAATGGGCAGATCTGGGGCTAGATGAGATCACTTGGGAGAAAGAAACCAACCTCTACGCCTTCCAACAAAAGATTGAAGAGTTTCAAGCTAACCAATCAACAAAGATATTGACAGATTGAGTGGGGGAAGATGTCATGAGCCAACCTTGTATGAGATGATGATAGCTTAGGATTGTTTAGGAGATTAAGTCTTTTTATACCTGTAAGGGAAGTGTCTCACTTTCGAACAATGTAATGTCTCGTGGTGATACCTCCACAAAAACTTATTTTAAGGATTGTAATGTATATTGTTAGGATTCTTGTAAAATTTTGTAAACTCTTTATAGGGGGTGAGCAGTTAGCGGATTGTTGGATTGTCTCACTAGTAAAAGTATGTTTGTAGCGATTCATCTAGAGCTGACTCTATGGCATGACGATGACATATCTTGGACTTTTTGTAATCAATTTCATATTAATAAAATATTTTTCCTTTTGATGACTAAGTGGTTGCATATATGACATTCGATATGCCTTTTTATTCTGATACGGGTTCTTTTAGTCTAATTTGTTGTTATTATTAATGTTGAAACAGATACAATTGAGTATTGACTGACTTGTGTGGAAGCGTCCACTCAAATGCTACACGGACTATCGCATACTTAGACGAAGGAGCATAGTTTGTGCCAGTTTTATTTTTTTATAGATATCTTTAATTTTAATATTTGAAATCATATATAAACTCGAAACAGATTTGTTGTGCTTTGGTTTATTAAATGATTAAAGATGACATGAATATCTTTTATCTTAATTTTAATCAAAATTAAAATTTATATAATACTAAACAACTTATCAATCAATTTTAATATAATTTTAAAAATTATTATTTTTCATAATAGCTTCATATTAGCTTTTAAATTAAAAAAAAGTTAGGCAAAAACAGGTTCAAAGTAATAATATAAAATTTATTGGCAAATTAAAAGAAAGTAGGTGCTCAACCTAACTAGCTATTTCATTAACTAATTAACCAATACTTAATTAGGGGCGTGATAGCATTAGCATCTCATTAGTTGTTACATCAGCAGCACCCATTAAACAGAGATTAAAAATGGGGTTTATCATCTAGGTAAGCCCCTATCCCTTGCATGGAAAAAAAAATAACATTGGCAGTTGGGTTTGGTTGAGTTTTTCTTGGAGTACATAGAAACAACACGCCGGCAAAATATGGATGCATGAGGAAGGAGAATGGAATTCATTTTTTGTTATAGAAATAGCCGGCTGGTGATAATCCATTGAACATCCATAGAATTGATCAGCAGGTTCTTGCTGTCACCAAAATTAAAGAATACCCCAAGAATTAATAATTAAGTTCATGACTTATGTTTTTCGTGGGAGATATGACTTCTTCCAGTTCATGTGACCAGAGTTGTTATAAAACTAAGTAATTAAGGCAGAAAATCTTTTCCATATCTTGTCATTTTGTCGATACCAAGAACACTTCTAGACTGCAACTTTTTCTTTTTTCTTGTTAAATAACCAGTACTTTGTTCAACTTTTTATATTAATTAATGAATGAAATTCATGCATGCCCTGCCTGCAATACAAATCTTCTCTGATTCGCATGCACATATTTCATTTTTCCAGGGCTGACGATTTTTTCTCCTGAGGAAGCCGTCTCGAAGTCAAAAAAAATTGAACCTTCATTGAACTTTCAGTTCAGTTTGGCCTCAGTAAAGTACAAAATAAGCACAACAAAATTTAAGCATATCAGAATTAATTTGCTTTCAGTGACAAGGTTCTGGGTCCTGAACGAGCAAGCCAACTCGACTTTGTTCGGTTTGCAAAGATAATAATAGTAATAATTAAATCTCAAGAGATGCGCAGCATCAATTGCTTTTATTGCTATATCGTGAATTCATGCTTTTGACTTCTTTTGCTTGAGCAGAGGGGTTTGGCTTTTGATAGTACAAAACCCAAAGTTTCTGCGATTCGTGCGTTGATTTCAAGCAAACCCTTTGGTTGATTCCGTCTGCAATAATAAGGAAGCCGACCATATATTTCCTATGTTAATGCGGGAATCGATCGTTATATTTGTTTTGAACCTTTACTCTAAATTGCCCCCTTTAGTCATTTCGAAGAAAGTTCCCCCATTGAAAGTTGAGATATCAGCACTTGAGATATAGAGATAAATTAAATTATTGTAAAGAGATGCTTTTATTATTTCAATACAGGATCTGATCTTACCGGACGAGTTGAGCTGATCACAAAAAAATTTAAAAGGAGAAATGAAAAAAAAAATCGAAACATTGGACCTAGTAAAACTAAAAACCAACAATATAATATAATTTACATTGATTACAGCAATTACAACCACTGAACCACGCCGGCCAAACTCTCTCGTCATCAGCATTTCGACACAACTCGAAATGTCAGTCACTCAACGACGGGCTTTAGTTAATTTGCCAGTACATTGTAATGGTACCTAGACAAAAAAAATTATTAAAAAAAATTAAGCAGGTAGAGTTAATTGCACATAGTTGCTGGACTCCAATTTTCAAGTTAAAAGATGATAAATTTGTTGGTGTCAAGAGATTTTTTTTCTTAAATTATTTTTAAAAAATTTATTTATTTTATTATATTTAATCATAATTTTATATTTTTATTTTAAATCAAATAAACTCTTATAATTAATGATGAATTAATTGTTGTTAGTTAAAATGTTATATATTATTTTTATATCATATGATGTTAACATGACATATCATAATATAACATGATGACATTATCACTTGTTATTTTCATCCTTTACACTAATATTAAGTGCACATAAAAAGAGAAAACAATATTTTGACTAAATTATAAAAATATAAGAATTTAATTAACTCAATTAAAAAAGGAATATTTATTATCCTAAAGTCATAATAGAAAGTATATTCCACAATTTAGGGTTTCAGGACACATTCAAATTAGAGCAGGAAGATCAGCTATGGTAAGTATACTTCAAGTCAAATTACACATTGAGAAAAAGAAAACATTGAAAGGCAGATGCCAGGTTGATAGGCCATTATTCTACATCAAGAATTTAAGATGTTCAGTTGGGGGCTTTGACAAGTAAACAATGTTTTATTGGTAAGAAACATTGATATAAATATAAATATATATATATGATGAATTTTCTTTCAGGGTAATATATATAATACAGGATAGTAGAATCAGTCTGGAAATGGTGAATCAAAATTTAGAAACTGAAACAGAAGCGCATGCATTTACCTCCTTTGAAAATTTAGCTTGGCTATACAATAAGCAAAAATAGATGCAAAGAAAATTGGATAAGCAATAAGTACAATGGCTATGATGGGTAAATCTTGATGTTTGTATCCATAGTGACTCTCTAAGAAGGCGCTCACTGATTTGCGCTCTCCAAATGCAATCATTTCCTGCTTTATATCTCCATATTGTGAAGTAAGGAAACCTTTCAGGGACCATGACATTGGAGAAATCCAGTAACACCATCCCCACCATTTGGGCAATTTCTGCAAGGGTGAAAACCAATGTGTAAATTACTATGCTGAATCAACTTTATTTCACTGTGACAAAAGAAAAAATGGGAATCTACTTTGGGCTTTGCAGCAAAAAGCAAATTGTTCTATATCATAATTCCAGGTTTGCTACTTTAGGCATCAATGATAACAAGTTATTCAAATCTAGGGCTTTCTTCTCTTTTTAAAGATTAAAGTCATTTAAATGCTTACAAATATATATTCAGATAAAAAGTGGAAAAGTTTTCATGAGTTGCATGCCAATCAATTTAAGATATAGGGAGCTTGATATAATTGTCCAAAAGCAAATGAAAAGACTGAGGAATTATATACCAAATGCAATTTGATCATTATTCTGCTTCACAGACCTAGGTGATGAACTTAGTGGCAAATATACAGTAATTAACTGGAATTTTTTGTTCTGGTAAGAAAGAAAAGAGAGAGTTGGCTTACGGGCCCTGGAATGAGGAATCCACAGAACAAACCCATCAACGGGTGAGAGAAACTGGCGCATATCGCGGCCATTTGATGAGTTGGAGTCAAAGAGACAAGCATCATGCCGAAATATTTGTAGAAGAGCAGCGTACAAAACATGACGTAGAAGTACCAAAACACTTTGTAAACTGATCCATAGAAGTTGACAAGCGGATACGTAATAGTCCAGAACAAAGCTGCTTCAAGGAAGACATAGGGAAGTTCGACAATCACCTGTGTTAAAAATAAAAGTGCTAGTTTATATATTTGTAATGTGAGTTTCAGGATCTCTTACAGAGTATAGACTTCTTGGAAACGCTAAAAAATGCTATAGAAAATGTTTTTAGACCTGTGCTATTGAATTTGCCCAGGAGGAGTACATTCCGGCGAACCTCTCTCGGTACACAATAGTACGCTGAGTAGTTATGATGGGAAGAACAGATGCACAGTTGCTTATTCCAATGATTACCACGATACCAAACAGCGATCCTATTATGCTGAAAAAGTCCTGTTCATTATCCCTAGAAACAGGATCAAAGTTTCAGTATATTATTTTTTTTTTCATATATATATATATTATAATTCCAAAACAATCTAAAGAAAAACAAAGTTTCAGTATATTAGATGGTAAATCTTTCTAAAGCTTGAGGTACAGTTTTCTGCTGGAACTGAACTTTAGTGAGGTAAATTCTTTAATAAATGTACTCCACACAGTTTGCTCCTCACTCCAAACGTTTAGAGTACTGATCCACGGACACAATTCATGATGGAATATGTGCCGCAATCGTTTGTAAGGAATACCTGTGACCTTCATTCATGAGTTTGAGTACTTAAGTACGTGAACTCTGTCAACTCTGTTACATGAATTTTGCTGATGCTTAATGAAGCAAGTCTTATCTGATATAGTGAAGTAAGCAGCTTACATTTTCTGCCCTTTCCGCCGAAGAAGCACTCCATATAACAAAGAAGATGATGTAAGCAATATCAACCGTGATAAGTTATATCCAGGACTTCTCCAGTAGGACAAATGTTGCTTCCATAGGCATGCTTTGAATTGCTGCCATCCATTTTGTGGAAAGCGCGTAGCAAAATGTAGTTCCTCTGAGCCCTCTACAGGAAGACTCAGCTCTTTGACTAGTTCCTCGTTTCTCCTACACAAAAAGGAACATATATATTACTTGGTATGACAGACAACTATGCAGCAGAAACGTTTTCTGCTAGGCCTTATTTTGTGGTGTGCTCACAGGTCTCCAGTATATCAATTAAAACGTGCTTTGGAGTCATTTATCATGGCAAACATACCGGTATAGATGAGATTCTTTGTAGAGATGGGCAAAATCCACCCCGAGTTGAGCTTCAGCAGAGGGACTAGTGACGTCTAACATCCATGTTGCTGGATTGTGGTTTTCTTTTATTCTTGGTACCCCTGGTATACCCTGACAAAAGGATGTCAAATTTATTATAGTTTCTTATGAGTTGAAAGCATGTAGGATGTATTAAGTGAGCCTTTGCTTCTAAAATTTGTCTAACTACGTAGGGAAAAAAAATACTAATAACATGTAAAATAATGTCATAAAACAGAACTTGTGTATTGATGTTTTCACCTCAAAATATTCTATAAGCCTACTTGAATGCTGACCCAGCTCTCCAGAATATATCATCTGTCCTCCTCTTTTCATCAAAATGAGCTGTAGGATGCATTGGTATTATGTAAAACAGAATAAACAGGATTATCACTTTGTTGGTTAGCTTTGGTGCATTTGTTACTGCAGGAAATGACTATCATGCATCATAAGTATGTGTCATATTAATTACCTCATCAAATGACTCGAATATGTCAATACTTGGTTGATGAATGGTGCATACAATTGTCCTATTTGTATTAACAATATTCTTCACAACCCGCATGACAATTGCAGCTGCTCTGGCATCTAATCCAGAGGTGGGTTCATCCATAAATATTATGGATGGATTAGAAACGAGCTCTACTGCTATAGTTAGCCGTTTACGCTGTTCAGGTGATATTCCACTAACACCAGGGATGCCAACTAAAGCATCTTTGATTTCATCTAGCTCAATCGTTTGAAGAACCTCTGCCACAAATTCCTGTTAGAAAAGTAAGGCAAGTGAAATATTCTGATAAAGCAGTTCCCTTTCCAATATTACAGGCACTGATACAAGCATGTCTTCAAGTCATAGAGGTACTTTAGGCTAAGTGTACAAAAGTATACCTTCCTCTATGCTTCTTTAGTTTTTATGTTTTTCTGTTTAAAGATATAAATTAGATCCTCTTATCAGTAAATAAAGAAACATTTGTAACTAAATGTTTGATGCACTTAATAAGGAGAAATCATTTTGTTCTAATCATCTTAGAGTTACCATATTGTTATCCAGTTTGATCTTAAAAGTCTAATACTCGTCCTCAAGTTCTTCATTGATATAAAGTTGGAGAACTTCTTACCAATCTTTTATGCTTATCAACCTGTTCTGGCAAGCGTAACCAAGCTGAGTACTTTACAGATTCCTCAATTGTAATTTGGGGAGAATGTATATCAGTTTGCTCACAATAAGCAGATATTCTGGCATATGTCTCTTGAATCTTTGGATATCCTCCAATTTTTATCTCGCCCTCTATATGACCACCAGTTTTTCTTCCAGAAAGAACATCCATCAAGGTTGTTTTCCCAGCTCCACTGGCACCCATCAAAGCTGTAAGAATTCCAGGCCTAAATGCTCCTGTAATATCTTGAAGGAGCTGTAATTTTTTGTGTGGGAACCCTTGCTTCCTTACTTTCTGCAAACACAGGGCAAGACATTGGAAAAAGAATTTGACATTCAAAATTATGAGGAGTGCATCGATGATTAATGAATAACATGGCTACCTTTGGAATATCAACAAAGTATTGCACATTCTCAAATGATATAGTTATGGGCTCAAAAGGTAAAACCATCCCTATAGTTTTTGTATCTGTAACAGCTTTTAGAGCGTCAACAGGGAACAATTCTTTTTCCTGATGAACTACATTGCTTGAATCTTCTTTCTCCTTCAAATGATGAAACCTTTCATGAGAAATAATAGCCCGAGATCTTCCTGGAGCTGCACAGATTTCATTTTTTGAAATATTCAGTTTAGAATGATTGATTCATAACTTCAAATATGTTTTCCTATGTTTCTTTCTTGTGTCTGCATGCATGCTACAACTTACGCTTGAAGTAACTGAGTGCAAAGGTGAATCCGACGTTAAAAATCATCCAAAATCCTATTAGAGCTCCCACTGATAGCCAATAAAAGTCGTCACTGTAGTCTAAGCCACGTTTCCTTAGGATTTGATGCCCTAAAGTAACATTTGAACGTGAAACCTGCACTTTTCAATTTCCAGCACCAGCAAGCATGAGCTTTCGGAAACTACAGATACATTGATCATCATTCATTTGAAGGATAGAGATTAATGGTTTGTTTTCACCTGTTGCCACCTTGGGGCCAGAAATTCATTTACTGAGACTCCTATTTCTGCATACGTGATAGGGGAAATCCAAAAACCCCATTTTATCCAATCAGGTAAAGATGCTGCAGTGAGCAAAGCTTTATTACTATTGTGGCATGAATACTCGGCATTTTCAGAATTTCTTAACATAAGTGAAGGATTGCCTTACGTCCTGGAATTAAAAAGCCACCAAAAAAAAATAGCGCCAATATAGTAAATTGACCACAGTCAGCTGCAACGGATTGGTTTCGAATTACTGAAGCAATGAAGCGGAATAGTGATGTTGACACTTGATGAAGAAGGAAAAGGAGTAGGAGTTGACGGAAAAACCTGACAGCAAAACTAGGACTTAGAAAGGATTGAATTTAGTATTTGCATTTAACATATCTTTGGAAAACAAACCTTCCTGGTTCAGGACTGTAACCAATCACGTAATATGTGAGACATGTCCAAAGAACAGCATCCAGCAATGAAAGAGGAATCTTTAGAATTGTTGAAGGAATTGAATAAGCCCATGCTGGATAGAAGTAGAAATCTCTTTGCTTGTAGAATATGGGAAGTCTAGAACCAGATAATGGCAACTCTGCAATTCCATTGCACATCAGTCTTATAAGAGCATAAAACAAAGACCCCATGAAGTAGCTTGCGTGGACCTCATCAATTTTCATTCTACTACGTATAAATACTGTCATTGTTATCAGTGCAATAAGAACAAGCTGCATCCAGAAAATATTCAAGGTTGTGTAAGTCTATGTTGATTTAAGTTCTGTGTGCTAACTAATAAATTGCAGATAGTGATTATTTGTCACCTGTGTTGATTTAAAGACATAAACAAATGAGTTCCGCTTCATGAGAAGCCATTCTCTAGCTGTGCATGCCTTGAGTAATTCCAATTTTTCTAATGAATAAATACTAAGTGACAGAGCATTTTTGTGGCTCTCAGATTTGTTGAAAGCTGTGCATAGTTCTTCGTTTAGCTTCTGTCCTGCATGAAACTCCTTGAATGCGGCGTTGAACATGTCAATAGAAACATAACTATGAGGTCTGTCTTTATGATACCAGTACTGTGCTTGATCCTTTTCAGAGAGCACCTGTTGAAGAAATCGACATTAAAACCTGAATTCAAAGGCAAATTTCACTTACGTGCTAGATAGATTAAACATGGACACATACTTCTTGGAGGAAGTCAGCAACTCCTTTTCGTGGTGGACACCTAAAACCACAATGTTCAAAGAAATCTTGAACATGAATGCGTGGTCCATGGTATACAGTCTTTCCTTCTGCCATTAAAATTATGTCATCGAAGAGATCAAAGGTCTCAGGAGCTGGTTGAAGAAGTGATATCATAATTGTAGCGCCTGTTATGTGTGTCAATTGCTGTAGACAGGTAACAATTTGAAAGGTAGTGGAGCTGTCTAAGCCAGTGGATATTTCATCCATAAACAGAACTTTGGTGGGACCAATTATCATTTCCCCTGCGAGAGGTGAACATCAAGCATTTTATAACAACTACATTTTGCTGCAAATGTGTTATCTGTAAATGATTTAGTTTTTCAATGTTATAATTATCATATAAATTTGTAAATTGTTATTTGAGGAATTCTCAATTAGTTAACATTTAAAATATAAGAATATAAATGTATGTAAACAAAAAAAAATGATTTTTCAAGAAAAATACTAAAAGTAAATAAATTTTACATCTAAAATAAAATTTTTTAATAAAAAACAATATACTTTAATCAATTAGAATTTAATAAATAAAATTTTCTAATCCATGGAAAATTTTCCTAATCATGTTAGTCAAATTGTTTTCACTAGTTACATGTTTCTCATCATCTGCTGAGATTCTTATACGTATTTAACTCATTATGTTACTAGAAAGGTAGCAGAGTGCGAGTACAAAACCTGTTGTCAGCCTTTTCTTTTCTCCGCCTGAGATTCCTCTGTTCATTGCATCTCCCACAACTGTATCAGCACAAATGTCCAGTCCAAGGATCTGAAAACAGCCATAAATTGTACCAGAATTATTAGAAAAGAATATGTGCTACAAGATTTGAATCCTCTGATGGAAGTCCGAATGGTAAAGGACCCAAATCGGTAAAGTGCTTATTATACATTTGTTTTCCTTTCAAGAGAATCACCTTCAATATATAATCTGTCTGGAGAGTTCTTTTCAATCCTTCAACTGAAATTGCCTGTTAACACAGATTATTGTCAGGGATGTCAGTCATTGGCCCTCTTTCAACATGATTGACATAAAAGTGAACTATTTCTTGCAAATTGATTACCTTCATGTAAGTGTCTATATCTGGTTCAGGGATGATGCCATATAGTTTCTCCCTTTTGCTAACTTCTTTCAAGATATCTTCATTAGAAGACAAGTTTTAAGATCAAACGGGTGTTGTGAATTGTACACTTATCAGTATAAATGCAGTAAGAAAATCTACCTGCTCTGCTTCCAATGCCCTGACAGCGTGCTGAGAAGTCAAGTGTCTCTCTTACAGTCATTTCAGAAATATGCAGGTCATATTGACTTATGTAAGCTGATGTCTTCTGAGGAACAAACTCTGTGAACTTGTAACCATTATAATATGTTTCTCCTGTGACCTGAATATCGTTGAAATTTTCCAATTGTTTAATTTAGATCATATTTAAGGGTAAAATATCTTCAAACTCTTAACTTTTAATTATAATTACATACAAATTTATTAGTTTTCAAAATAAATAATTCGCTTCAAAAATTTATTTTTATTAGACACATAAGTCCGGTTGTTAATTAATCGTTAATATTTCTATTAATTTGATGATATAATAATATTTTTAAAATAATTTTACTCTCTATTAATTTTAAAAATTATGACATATAAATTATATTTTTCGTTTTAAAATTTATTTTTTCTTTTTTTCAAAAAAAAAAAACCTCTCAATTTGGCCACCCAATAGTTGGTGGCATTTCCCTAAGGAACGCACCAAGGGAGCACCAGATCTGATGCTACTAGAGGAGCTTGAGATTTGGAGTGGGTGATTAGATCTCGCACTCTCATAAGGAGATCTGGTCGAATTTAGCATTTCACAATCAGATCAAGTCATAAGGTGATCGTTTGATATAAGAAAATGTAATAGACTGACTTGAGAGAAAAGAAAAGAATGAAAAAAAAAAATATTTTAAGCATTTCATGTTTAAGAATTAACACTGTCTGTTAATTTTAAAAATTAATAAACCCACATACAATTATGATAAAAAAATTAAAAGTGTGAGGATATGTTACCTGCATTTAAACTCCTAATAAATATAATCTATTTGTTGTTCTTAAAACTATTAATATTAAAATTGTAACTTCAATTGTCGATGACAGGTTATATACCTTGAGAGATGGGCTAAGCTTCCCTGCAAGTGCCTGTAACAAAGTGGTTTTCCCACAGCCTGGAGGACCAAGCAACAGAGTCATCCTGCATGAAAAGGGAGTTCATGAAAGATTATCAATTAATTGATTTGGTCATTAGTATAAGCAGCTATCCCTTTTTTCAATGGAAAGTTAAATAAACTCAGATTTCACAATAAACTGATGACAAGCTTGTGTGGTGGACCTTGAAGGCTTGATGATGCCACTGACATCTTTGAGAATTTTTATCTTGGTTGCTTGAGACTTGCATTTGCTAACTTTTGCCACAGCCTGTTCAACATCAAATATTTTTTCAGTTTCTGAGCTTTGCATAAACATTTTAATATTTAGGAAATAAACATATTAATCTGGGTTTTTTTTTTAAAAAAAAAAATTCTAAATAGGAAATTGCAACTCCTAGGAATTATTAGAAAAGGAAAAACAATGTCATATAATTGCTGAACTGACAATTGCAGTGTTACTTCTAAATAATTACTGCTATGGATAGAAGATTTCTCATTCGCCTAAAGGAAAATTTTCTCATCATTGATTTAGAGAATTATCCCTTATCTCAAAGTTTCATTCTGGGCCACATAGAAATATCTGCATTCAGAATCATGTTACAAACTTACAGAAAATATGCTTTTAATGGTGTTCCAAAGTGTAGGGAGGGGCTTTCCCTGAACCACTTCGCATTCTGCTTCCACACACAGATTCTCGTATCTCACTTCAATGGTTGGCAATTTCAACCCCACTCTGATAGCAAGCATAACGTTCCATCAGTTACAGTTACCAAATCTTCCTCAATACATTTTTACGTGCACTCTTGAAAATGTGCTTTAGAGTAAAAACAAAAAAAAAAAGAAGGGAAAAAACGAGATTAAGTTTCTTGCCTGTCTATTCTTTCTTTTAGTTTCTTCAGAAGCTGGAGATTATCCTCCTCGATCTTTGTTATCAGTTTCTCAATAAAAACGCGGCGTTCCAGTGCTCCAAGCTCCGTAACGTCTATCATCTCCATCTTCCTTCTGCCCTGATCTTCTTTCCCATCATTTAACAACTTGTGATCAAACAATGACGTTCTTAGCCGCTCGAAAGTTGGCAGTCTCTCAATCGCAGCCCACTGCAACTCCACTTCATCGTCGTCTTTCTCTTTAAACGACACCGCATCTGAAGTAGTACTCCTGAAGCTTGAAGCAAGGTGACGGAAAGAGTATCTTAAGCTTCTGCCTGTCTCATCAGCTTCATCTTCCCCTACCGCACGAGCCATCTGTATACTTTGGCCGTCAAGATGGCTCCAAATTAAATTTGTGGTGCGTGTATTCTTTTAAATGCTTAAAGGGAAACTTATAGATCTTGACTCGATTCACTCCGTTGCGTTGAGTCTTTTCTAATGCCCTTGTTCTGGGTCAACGAATGCAAAACTAATGTCTTTAGGTGAATATGAAAAGCAATATTATTGATTATTACTCGATTTAGTTTACAAGAGTCAAATAAATGATCTGCTTTGATTTCTACTAGATGAACCGCAGACATATGCATGTTCACAGATTTCATGCCAGGCTTGGAGTAATCTGTTTATGATCACACCCTTTGATTGGAGAAAACTGTCCACTTATTTATTTGTTTATTGATTTTGTTAAACATGTGACTGAATCACGAATAATAAAATGCAAACTTAAGAAAAGAAACCATTGCAGAATCTGCAGGCGGTCCATTGACGAAGCAAAAGTTTAATTTTTAGACTACTACCGAACCCTGAAAAGATGGGGAAAAGCAATGGAGATCTCAATAATTAGTAATTTTTCTATGTATCTTGTTGTATTTATAATGGAGGTGCCAGCCTATCCATGGATGTTTTCTGGTCTTTCTTTATTAGAGGCCACCAAATTAATTTTCTTGAAGAATGGTAATACTAAAACCCAAGAATATAGAGTATTTCTCTGAACAGAACGAACACAGAGTTTTCTATCTTCCAGGGCATAACCATATCTCGCCAGGAATCGGTCTAGAATTGATAAACAAACAGGATGGGCTACGCAATCAGATTTCAGTTTGACATCAGTAAATTATAAAGGGTGAAGTTCATCTATATTTCCTGCAGCATTGACACTTGATAGATTAATGACTTGCTAATGCAGCGTGATTAACTTGTTTAGGGTTGGGGATTGAAGCTGTGAGACAACCCAGGTACACTTTTTTTAGAGATGCGAAAATCAAGTGCATACATTATTGTTAAAATTTCTATTGTTATTAATGCTTCGACTTCTTAAGCAAGTCTTTTGGCCTTCAATAATTTAAATCAATAGTATCTTCATTGTCCACAAGATTGGGATTCGTATGTTGATTCCGAGCAAGGCATTGGAATTTGGATGATTTTATCTGCTAACGTGGTGCCGATTACCATGTGTATGCATCATAAAATTCGTTTATTGGGAAGTTCTACGATGGAGAAACTTTAAATATAAATAAGAAAGATCTCTTCCTAGTCAGACAAGATCGGATTGTCGGAAAAAAACATCTCTTGAGGTCTGTCTATTTCTCTAAGCCAGATCTCCTTTCTGTATCTACAGGATTTTCCTGCTTGAATGAATACAGATAACTTTAAAAAAAAAAAAAACCTAACAGATTCTCAAAGACTTATAAAAGGTAATGTAAACTGTATTAATGGCACAATTGGTTCATAGAATGGAATAAAACGAAATAAGATAATTATTTCGTGAGAATAAAATAAAATAATTATTAAGTGATTTAGTTGATGAAATGGAATAATGTAAGAATTATTATTATGATTTATTTTAATGTTTGGTTGATAAGAATAGTTTTAAAATAATGAAGGATTAAATGATAAAATTACAAAATTATCTTTTATTATAATATTTAATTTATTTTTGTCAAAATACAAAAATATAATAAAATATTTATACCAAAAAGTTAAATTATCCTTCACTATAATTTAATCACATATTTATACTTAAAAAAATTATTCTTGATTATATTTTAATAATATTTTGATAAGAATACAAAACCATAAAAAATTGTTGCTAAAAGACTCAAAACGACATGCTTTAAATATATTTCCTTCAAAAAATAAAAATCGCAAAACAATATCTTATTAGTTCCTTCAAAATATTAAGGTACTGTGAGTAAAAGCTTCAAGTACCTACCTGAACCAAGAAACTCAGTTACAAAAACATAAAATTTTGCTACCAAAACCCTAAAAAAACAAAGCACGAAAATAATTTATAAAATACCAACAAATAATCTCAGTAAAAAGAAATCAAAGTGACGATTAAAAATGTATTTCACACTAAGGGTAGTGAAGAACGAAGCAAGAAAGGTGGTGGCAACAGCAAAAAAGTGGGGGAGAGAGATAGATGAGGAAGAGAGGGGAGAAAAAGGGAAAAAAATAATATAAGGGTAGGGTTGTAATTATATATATTAAATAAAGACATTTTTGTCCAATGATATTTTTACTCTATTCCATCAATCATGAAATAACTAATAAAAGAGTAAAAAAGAATAAAAAGAAAATGACTTAACTATTCCCCTTACCAAATGTATCATATATAATAAAGTAATTCCCCTGTTTTCTCGTTGGGCATGGTTGTGCCTGCATGATAAGAATGAGAAAAGAAATTAAGGGGTTTCTTTTTTTTTTCTTTTTTATTAAAAGGCGAGTAGCAATTAATTTTGGAAAATGTTAAAAAATGTTCAGAGAGATAGCTTAAAATACTATTTTAAAATCTACTTTGTATTTCCTTGTTGAAAACTTTCAATTTTGTTTAATAGTAGTTGAAATATGTGTATTATATATATATATATATATATATATCAAGATTTAGCTTAGCTTAATTTTGTGTGACTTTTAATTTTAAAATAGGCCTTTCATTGAGCTCAAATCAACCTCAAAACTAATAAAATCAATTAAAAAAGTAAAAATTCTTGAAGCAACACAAAAGCAACGAAAATAAGAGAGACAAAAAATATTTTCTAATACCTCCCTTTTTTGAGTTATCTTATTATAATTGTGATTGTAATTACACCTCAAAAGGACTTTTATTCAAATATGATTGTTATATGTTTTTTTAGGTCTGGTTTTATATCAATAGACATAAAAATAAAACAATTAGAAAAAATTAACCCTAAAGAAGAAAAAAAAAGGTAAACAAGGAGTAAATTTGTTTAAGAAAGTATTGATTAAGGTAAGATTAACTTTCAACTCATAAAAATTTTGTATTTGGTATAGTTTGGCACAAAAATTCTAGTTTTATTTTATGTTTCTTTAATTTCTGTCAAAATCGATATCCTTTCAACAAAAATCCATTTTTAACAATTTAAAACTCTAAATTTAAAGAACTTCACATTCTAGTAATAACGTTTTAAGTTGATCGTTGGAGGGTTTTTGTGGTATGAACTGTGTTCTTCATTTTTATTTTAATGGTTCACGGCTTTTTGTATTAAGACAATTAAAGGTTCAAAATAATTTAGTTGAAACCGAAATCTAAACATTTTGAATATTTCAATGATGATATTGAAAATTTTAACCTTTTGAAAGTTGTGTTTCCAACTTTCTTTGTTAGTGACATGAATTTGGTTATTAAAGTAGGCTAAGTAAGGTTGAATTTGGTACTGATTACACCTCCAATTTCAACTTAAATGTCAAATGGCCATAAAAATTTGAAATTTTGTAAAATTTTTAAAAATTATTTTTGACAGGTTGGGCCTCCAATCTTCTGGGCCAATTGGCTAGCCTGTTGGGCCGTTGGTTTGCTGACATGCCTGGGCTACTAACGTGCTTAGGTTGCTGGTATGTTTGATCCGTACACTCAGATCATGACGTATGTATTTATCACTAATGCAGAAATGCCACATGAGAGTCTTCATTAATGCTTTAATCATTTATTGGATTAACAGAAATTAATTAGTCTCATCGATGCCAAGGTATTCTCTTTAGCAAGTTTAGCAAAATTTAGTAATTACTATGTAATTTTTGTAACCTCTTCTTAAAATTTTGGGTATGATTTAAATTAAATTAAATTAAACCCAAAACAAACCACTATAAGTATACTCCAACAACAATTAGTCACTCATTAACAGCAAACTGACTTAGGGAAGAAGAAGCCTAGTTCAGCAGAGTGTCACTAGCTTTAAAAGGGTAAAAGAAAGTAGAAAAGACTAATAATATAGAACAGGGATTGCTACGGAAATCTCGATGAGACAACTTTTAGGGACATAGAGTAGATAATAAATTTCAAGGTAAGTTTACAGAAGATGCATGAGAATTCAGAGGCTAGCATGTGTTTACCTCTTCTGAAAGTTTAGCTTAGCCATAAAATATGTAAAAACAAAGGCAAAGAAAAGTGGGTAAGCAATTAGTAAAAAAGCTGTGATGGATAAATCGTGATGTTTGAAGCCATAGCGGCCCTCTAAGAAGGCCCTGATAGTTTTGCGCTCCCCAAATGCTATGATTTCCTGCTTTATATCTCCGTATTGTGAAGTGAGGAGACCTCTCAATGTCCAAGAACTTGGGTCAATCCAATAGCTCCACACCCACCATTTAGGCAATTGCTGCAAGAGTCAAATGTAGCATATTTGAGTAATGCTGAATTGTGGTTCATTTGGTATGAAAAGAGAGAAAATCTAATATAAACTTCTAGATTAATTTAGATGTCAAAGAGAATGAATGAAATGAAAACTTGCTTTATTTTAATTGGAATGTTCTGTTTTTATGTTTCGAGCATTTCAAGACCATTCTAGTGTTAAAAATTGAAACCCAGTAAACAAAAATTCCAAAGTTTCAGTAGAAAAGGAAAAGAATGGAAGATTTCTACTAAATTGCATATCACAATGCAGCACTAAAAAGATTGGTTTAGTAAATTCAAGATGAACCACTTGTATTTTCCTTTATTATGCAGGCCTAGCCAACTGATGAGCTTTTATCAGAAATAAATGATTAGACTTGTAGTTTAATTTTGGTTAACAAGAAATGATATAGAGTAGGCTTACAGGTCCCGGTATGAGAAAACCGGAGAACAAATTCAGCAGCGTGACAGAGTAACTTGCACAGATTGAGGCCGCCTCGTAAGTTGGAGTCAAAGAAACAATCACCATGCCTAAATATTTGTAGTTGAGCATTGTACAAAAATTGGCATAGAAGTACCAAAATACTTTGTAAGCTGATCCGTAGAAGTTGACTGCCGGATATGTAATTATCAAGAACAATGCTGCTTCAAGGAAGATATACGGAATTTCAATTATCACCTGAAATTATACAAGTGCAAGTTTATCTTAAGATCTCCTGTTGGCCTCTGCAAATGTTTAGAAATATGCTGTGGGAATTTTTTTGGACCTGTGCTAATGAATATGCCTTGGACGAGTACATTCCAGCAAACCTTTCTCGGTACACAATAATCCGCTCAGAAGTTATGATTGGAAGAATCGATACACAGTTGCTTACTCCCGTGCTTATCATGAAGACATACATTGATCCCATTATGTTGAACAAATCCTGTTCATTATCTCTTCAGAAAAAGGATCATGATTTCAGGAAGTTAGATGATAAATTTATGTTTAAAGTTATAACTGCAGCTTTTTTGGGTGGACTAAACTTTGTGTCTGCTTATTTTGAATGAGTTCAAAGGCTAAAAGATTTGAAAAGAAATTCAGCCAGGGTAACAGTGCCTTTGGCTGTTGGGAAATTTTACTAAAGGGAAAAAAAATTCGAAAAAGCAGCTTACATTTTCTGCCCTTTCTGCCAAAGAACCGATCCATATAAGAAGGAAGATACGGTGGTGAACATCAAGCGCCCCAAGATATATGCGGGGTTTCTCCAATAGGACAGATGTTGCTTCCAGAGGCATGCCTTGAGTTGCTCCCATCCATTTTGCGGGAAGCGCGTAGAAAAACGTAGTTCCTTTGAGCCCTCCGCTGGAACACTCAGCTCTTTGACTAGTTCCTTGTTTCTCCTACACAGAAAACATCATAATTATGTAGCAGAAGTATGTTAAATCTATTCTTCCTAAACCTTTATTTTTCTTCATTTTATCTTGAGGTGTGACTGTATGAGCAAAGGTCCTCAATGCGTCAATTGAAAGTCAAACTTCAGGATCTTAACAGTGATTTCTGACTTATCATGATGAACGTACTGGTACAGATGAGATTCTTTGTAGAGATAGGCAAAATCCACTCCAAGTTGAGCTTCAGCAGAAGGATTTGTGACCGCCAACATCCACGTTGCTGGATTGTAATTTTCTTTTATTTTCGGCACCCCTGGTATTCCCTGCTTGAAGTGTTTTAAATTATTATACTTTCTAATTCACTAGGCTGGTGGCTGAGTCCATATCATGTTACTTTGCCTCACCTCAAAGTATTCAATTAGCTTACTAGAGTGCACACCAAGCTCTCCAGAATATATTATATGCCCTCCCCTTTTCATCAAAATAACCTGCAGGTTGCATTTATGATATGTGAGACAGAATAAACATGGCAGGATCAATAATATTTAATGAATCAGCCGGTGCTATGAAAGATGGCACCTAATAATAAGTACATTGTTGAATAGCAAGCATGGTGAGTGCACTTTTTTACAAGAAATTAACAAATTTTTAACGTTTATGAATGCGTCACTGAGTTACCTCATCGAATGCCTCAAATATGTCGATGCTTGGCTGATGAATGGTGCAGACGATTGTCCTCCTAGTACTAACTATATTCTTCACCACTCGCATGACAATAGCAGCTGCTCTGGCATCTAAACCAGAGGTGGGTTCGTCCATAAATATTATTGATGGATTAGAAACAAGCTCTACTGCTATAGTCAGCCGTTTGCGCTGCTCTGACGATATACCACTGACACCAGGGACACCAACTAAAGCATCTTTGATTTCATCAAGCTCAATCATTTGAAGAACCTCTGCCACAAATTCCTGTTAAATATGTGAACCAAGTAAGACTTTCCATACTTAAACTTCCATGCTAACAAGACAATTTTATCATGTAATATGGCCAAATGTTTGATGTCAAAAAGCAGATTGGTATATGGGCGTTGCATAAGGTTTGAACACATGTTACCAATCTTTTATGCTTATCAACCTCTGCTGGTAAGCGTAACCAAGCCGAGTACATCACTGATTCCCCTACTGTAATCTGCGGAGAGTGTATATCAGTTTGTTCGCAGTACCCAGAAATTCTGGCATATGCCTCTTGGACTTTGGGGTATCCTCCAATTCTTATATCCCCTTCAGTATGGCCTCCAGTTTTTCTTCCAGATAGAACATCCATCAGTGTTGTCTTGCCAGCTCCACTGGCACCCATCAAAGCTGTTAGAACTCCTGGCCTAAATGCGCCAGTAATATCTTGAAGAAGATGTAGTTTCTTCTGTGGGAACCCTTGCTCTCTCAGTTTCTGGGAAAACAGAGAGAAGATACTAGAAAAATTATCTAATCATCTTTAAAATACTATGGGGTTTGTTGATAAATATAGTATGGTTACCTTGGGGGTATCAACAATGTATTGCACGTTTTCAAATGATAGTGTTACGGGCTCAAAAGGTAGAACCGTCCTTGTAACTCGTGTTATTGCAGTACCTTTCAAAGAAGCAGCACCAGGCAGTTGTGTTTCCTGTATGGAATTGCTCAAATCTTCTTTTCCCTTTAGATAAGAGAACCTTTGATGTGAAACAATAGCCCGAGATCTCCCTGGAGCTGTACAAAATTTCATCTTGTCAACAAACACAGCTTAGTACCAAAATGATTAATTTTTAAATTAAGTTTTCGATTCTTTTATCATATTCTTCTTCTATCTGCGTAGAGTAAAACTTACGCTTTAAATAACTAAGGGCTAAGGTGAATCCAATGTTAATAAGAATCCACATTCCTATTAAAGCTCCAACTGATATCCAGTAGAAGTATTCACCGAAGTTCAGTCCACGACTTCTTAGAAACTGATGCCCTAAAGTCTCATTTGAAGGTGAATCCTGAAAGCGGCAATGACCGGCAAACATGGACTGTAATAAGTACGGATATCTTGATCGTCAGTTCATTTTATCAACAACCGTTGGTCATTTTCCCTTTTACCTTTTGCCACCTTGGAGCCAGAAATTCATTGATGGAGATTCCTATTTCTGTATATGTGAGTGGGGAAATCCAAAAGCCCCATTTTATCCAAGCCGGCATTGATGCTGCATTAATTGAGGAAAGGTCCGTTATATTGACATGAATACTTTGCATTCTCTGAATTTTAAAATTTCTTCTTATTACTAAGATTGACCTTACGTTCGGGTATTATGAAGCCACTGAACAATGCTACCACCAATATGGTAAATTGACCAAAAATAGCCGCAACAGGTGGGTTTTTAGCTACCGCAGCAATCAAACGGAAAAGTGAGATCGCCGCTTGATGAAGAAGGAAAAAGAGGAAAAGTTGACGGAAAAACCTGACAGAAACATTGGGACTTAGGTAAGATGAAATTTGTTTTTAACATAATAAAAAATGTCTTTACAAAACTAACCTTTCTGGTTCCGGACTGTAGCCAATGATGAAATATACAAGAGATGTCCAGAGAAAAGCATCCACGAATGAAAATGGAATCTTTAGAACAGCTGAAGGAATTGAATAAGCCCATGCAGGATAGAAATACAAATCTCTTTGTTTGTAGAATATGACAAGTCTTGAACCAGTAAATGCCAACTCTGCAATTCCATTGCTCATAAGTCTCAAAAGACCATAAAATAAAGAACCCATGTATTCGCTTGCATGGAGCTCATCAATTTTCATCCGAGTGCGTATAAACGCTGTCGTGGTTACCAGTGCCAAAAAAACAAGCTACAAGAAGGAAACACCCAAGGTATGTAAGAGTATATATGTTGATTAGCCTTCTCGATATTGATTCATAATATTCCTAGCCTTGATTCAATTTTTTTTTTTGAGAGTTAACCTTGATTAATTAATTGTTACCTGTGCTGATTTAAACGCATAAAAAAATGAGTTTCGCTTCATGAGAAGCCATTCTCTAGCCAAGCATGCTTTGAATAATTCCCATTTTCCCAGTGAATAGATACTAAATGACAAAGCATTTTTGTGATTCTCAACTTTGTTGAAAGGTGTGCAAAGTTCTTCGTTTAGCTTCTGTCCTGCATGAAACTCCTTGAATGCAGCTATGAATTGATCAGTAGAAACATAACTTTGAGGTCGGTCCATATGATACCAGTACTGTGCTTGATCCTTTTCGGAGAGCACCTATTTAGACAAATCAACTTCAATGCAATGTTTCAAGAATTCAAGGCAAGTACTACAAGCAAGCTCAACAGATTGAGTGCGGATACATACTTCTTGGAGGAAGTCAGCGAGGCCTTTCCGCTGTGGGCACCTAAAGCCGCAATGTTCAAAAAACTCTTGAACATTACTCCTAAGTCCATGGTATACAATCTTTCCTTCCGCCATTAAGATGATGTCATCAAAGAGATCAAAGGTCTCCGGGGCTGGTTGAAGAAGTGAAATTAAAATTGTGGCCCCTGTTATGTGGGTCAATTGCTGTAGACAGGTAACAGTTTGAAAGGTGGTGGAGCTGTCCAAGCCTGTTGATATTTCATCCATAAAAAGAGCTTTGGTTGGACCAATCATCATTTCCCCTGTTAGCGGTTAGCATTAAGAACTTAGTGCAATGAATTAATTCTCTAACTCACAGGAAATTGGGCTGATCACATTTTATTCCATTGGTTTTCATCACTAGCAATCTAGCAAGATGGTAAAATTACAAAACCTGTTGTCAGCCTTCTCTTTTCACCGCCAGAGATTCCTCTTTTCATTGCATCTCCCACAATTGTATCAGCACAATTGTCCAGTCCTAGGATCTGAATAATCACAAACGGTAACAAAAACCTTAGATAAGGCTATGAGCTACAGGATTTGGATCCTCAGATGGAAGTCAAAATGAAGTGGATCCAAATATATGAGTACACCTTTTTCTTTTTCTTTAATCGAGCGAATCACCTTTAATATATAGTCTGTTTGGAGCGTTCTCTTTAACCCTTCTACTGAAATTGCCTGCACCAAAGATTATTCTCAAAGAAATGCTGCAGGAAAATGAATTGATGGAAGCTACTAGTCCTCTTTTAACATGATAGATAACCAACATTTCTGGCAAAACTGATTACCTTCATGTAAGTGTCTATATCCGGTTCAGGGATGATGCCACGTAGTTTTTCCCGTCTACTGACTTCTTTCAAAATATCTTCATTGACAGACAACTTCAATGATCAATATAATGCTAGGAAGGTATGATTTTTAGCATAAGATGGAGAACAATATCTACCCGCTCTGCCTCCAATGCCCTGACAACGTGCTGAGAAGTCTAGTGTCTCTCTTACAGTCATTTCAGAAATATGCAAGTCATATTGACTTATATAAGCTGACGTTTTCTGAGGAACAAACTCTGTGAGCTTGAAACCGTTATAAGAGATTTCCCCTGTGACCTGAAGTTAAAATTTTACAAATAGATAGATCAGCGGTGTATTGTTTGATTAATTAACATATAGTATTTTTTTTAGGATAAATATTTTTACTTTTTTAAGTTTTGATTGAAATTATATAAAAATTCATTAGTTTTCTATATGAACACTCCATCTCATAAAAATATTTTTAATTGAATATGTAAGTATAATTATTAGTCAACCGTTAACATTTCCGTCAACTTACTGATAATTTTACTTTTAATTAATTTTTATAATTACTATTATATAATTTTATTATTAATTAAAAAAAAAACTCCAATATGGGAAGCAACGGTGCTCCCCTTCCTTGGGAGCACCGGCCAATGCTCCTTGTTTAAGGAGCTAGGGAGCATTGATCTTTTATGTATTATGTGTTTATGTAGAATGAAGTGTCCTTGTTTTGCGTCTTCACTCTAGTACTGTCTTTGCTTCATTCTATCTTCTCTTCTGTTGCCTCACAAAAAACTCCAACAAACTCTATGGTATGAACTCATATGTTTCTTCTATTCAAATCTATAGTTTAAAATTAAGAGTAGGGCTGAATATTTAATGCAGATCATACACAGTTTAAAAGTGTTAATAGTATGAAGATAACCTCGAGAGATGGGTCAAGCTTCGCTGCAAGCGCCTTTAACAAAGTAGTTTTTCCACAGCCTGGAGGGCCAAGCAACAGGGTCATCCTGCATTTTAATTGAGCGAATGAATTATGTTCAGCAAATTGATTTGGTATAAGCTATTGCTATTTAATTCAAAAGAAAAAATAGCTTAAACTTGATAGGTTCTATTAGATGATGTTAAGCTGCAGCTTGTACCTGGAAGGCTTGATGATTCCACTGACATCTTTGAGAATTTTTATTTTGTTTGGTTGGGACATGCATCTACTAACGTTTGTCATAGCCTGCTCAACATGAGACATCTCCTTCACTTATTATCGACTTTAAGACGTTCATGGCATTGATTGATTAGCTTAGTTTTCTTTTTACCTTTTTTGAAACTCAATTATCCAAAAAAAAGGAGTGGAATGTAGTATCAGGAGAAGGCTTTGCAGTGTAGTAAGTTACTTATTGATATTCGAAAGCAGTATTTATACGTTAAAATTTATATAAAATTTATATATATATGTATATATATATATTCTTACAATGAACTGTTGTCAACCTTGATTCGTATAATTATTGATTCATGCAAATTTTCCCGTGTGCCAAACTGAAATACTTGCATGAGGACATGAAAATTGATTGAATGTTACACTTACAGAGAATGTGCTTTTAATGGTGTTCCAAAGACTAGGGAGGGACTCTCCGTGAACTACTTCACATTCTGCTTCAACAGACAAATTCTTGAATCTCACTTCGACAGTTGGCCATTCCAACCCCACCCTGATTCCAAATAACAATTTCAGTCAGACCTCAAATGCCAAATGTAAATGTTTGCCATAGGCCCATGTTACTACGCAAGTTCATAATGAAAGAAAAGACAAGGTTGTTGCTTTTGCCTGGCTATTCTTTCTTTTTGTTTCTTTAACAGCCTGAGATTGTCCTCTTCGATTATGGTTATCAGTTTGTCGATAAAGACACGGCGTTCCGATGATCCAAGCTTAGTAACGTCTGTTACCCTGTTGCCCTCCTCTTCTTTGCCATCATTTATCAACTTGTTATCGAACAACGATGTTCTAATCCGCTTGAAAGTGGGTAATCTTTCAATTGCAGCCCACTGCAGCTCCACTTCATCATCGTTCTCTGCATGTGAAGCAGTGCTGAAGCTTGAAGAAAGGTGATCCTGCAAAGACGACGTCGCGCTTCTTCCCAGCTCTGCTAGTTCCACGCTGTCTTTCCGAATGGCATTCGCCATGTTTTGTCTGACCCTGTTAAGAAGGCTGCCAAGTTAGTGAAGAATCGTTAAAGAAATATATAGCAACAACTAAATTTGATTCTGTCAGTTTGAGGGATTTGGCGTCTGGTTTTGGTCAAACGAAGATCATGCTTTGTTATGTTTTCCGTTGAAAGGGAATCTAACCATTAAGCTTCTTGCACGTAATTTAATTTTGTAGGAAGCAAGAGCACGTTTGCCTTTTAAACTCTATTTTTGTAGGTTTTTTTGAGTGTTTCAACTTTTATAAATGCAATTAATGGCCAAAATTAAGTTTAGAAATGCACTTATTAATATACAATAACAATTAATTATGTACCAAACAAAAAGTAACGTACTAGCTAATTTTGGAGAAAACACAAAAATATATTTGAAACACTTTAAAAGGACACTTTGATCATCTTATTTCAAAATATATTTTTGTTCTCTTGATTGTTAATACCATTACTCAATAGTTCCAAAAATTAGACTTAATACTACGTAAATATTTTACGATATAAATATCTTTTATATTAAGTTTTAATTTAAACAAATTCTCTTCTTGAAAAATTCTATTCATTATTTCCTCCAAAACTTTAATTAGAAAAAAAAACCCTAAAAATTTTTATTTGAAGGTTTGAAAATTTGAAGTTGTATCTACTTTGAAAACCATAAACTTCTTTTTTAAGGTAAAGCTTATTTTCATCAAACTCTTTATTTCTCCAATAGTTTGAGAATTTTTTTTATTGAAAAGAATGTATTATAAAAGTAAATCTTTTGTTCAATAATAGATATTTCAAATTTGATGGTATTGGGTCAAGAGATTAATTTCTTGCTTGTGATTACTAATTTTGTTGAAAAATTTCACCCAAAATTTGTTCTTTGAGACTAAGGTTTAGGGTTATGTACAAAGATTTTAGCTTCATCACTATATATATTAAAAGTTTTAAGTTTTTTTCTTTTATGTCAAATATTGAATTTTATTAAGTATCAAAACGAAACAAACTACCACATTCACAAATCCCGTTCTAAAATTTTATTAAGTTTTAAGTTTTTTTTTCTCAATCAAATATTGAGTTTTATTAAATATCAAAGTGAATTTATTAAAATTTGGAGGGGAACATGAGTAGATTTTTTTAAAAAGGGCATTTGTATCCTAAAATATTTATGTAGTATTAAATATAATTTTTGTAACTGTTGACTAATGGTGTTAATAGTCAAAGGACCAAAAACATCATTTCGAAATAAAAAGGACTAAAATGTTTGAAGGATTTTTTTTATTTTACCCAATTAATTTTAGTATTTACAAAAGTAGTATTATAAAAAAAATTAAGCTTAATGAGTTTTTAATGACATTACTCCCAAATTACAATCTTGACATAATATTCAAAAAAATCTCCAATTTATTCATAAAAATTCAAATAAATTCTTATATTTTATTGCATTAATTAAGTTTTTGTACTTTTATTTTGAGCCAAATAAATTATTATTTTTTTATTTTGAACCAAATAAACTTTTATAACTAATTATTAACTTAATTAAAATGTCATTTATCATTTGACGTCACGTAACGCTGACGTAATATATTAATATATTATAATTGATGATGTGTAGTATAATGACATATTACAATTGATGATGACGTGATATGTTAATGCGACATAATAATTTGACTATATGGTATTTTTTATCTTTCACATCAATGCCATGTTAATATTATTTAAATATAAAATGACAAATGATATTTTAACAAATAACAATGAATCAATAATTAGTTATAAGAGTTTATTTGAGTTAAAATAAAAATATAAAATTTTGATTAAACATAATAAAAAAACAACAACATATTTAAGCATGATGCTTACAATCTTTTGCTTTACCTAAAGTCTGCACTTTTGCAAAGCATGTTTAATTTTAGAATAAATTTTTTATAAGTTTATATTTGATGTATTATTAGTTTATAAATTTTTATGCTATCAATGAATCAAATGTTACATCTAGTTAATAAATAAATTTAAAAGTTAAAAATTCTCAAAAATAAATATTCATAATTTTAAAAATACTTATTTTGAATGATTTTTAAATTTTTACTTTTACAAATTTATATGATAATACTCTACCATTAAGTAATAATATATAAATACTATACATAACACTACATGAAATATAAACTCATTTATTATATCAAAGATTTACTAAGCTTAATGAGTTTTTTTAACAATGTTAAGTTTGGATAAGAGGTGATACTAATGTACTAAATATTTATTATTTATTAACTTCTCCTTAGTCTGAATTTAGAGTTAGGGTTTTATCTAATTAAGTCATTGAAAAATTATTGAGATAAAAAATCTATTATCTCCTTCAAGTAAAACAAAAAAAGGATTATTTGTAAGTAAATGGGGGTATGAGTGGCTTAAATATATACACCAAACGGTATTAATCCTTGCCCCGTGCGCTCCACTCAACTTTGCTCTTGGGTCCATTAATGGCGGATGGTAGCCTAGGAGATCTTAGTACGCTTGCTTTTGCAATTTGCACGACACTAAATGACAACTTAAAACCTAGAAGCCAAGGGAGTAGACACTAGACAGTTTGGTTTGCAAGCAGTAGGATTCCCTACCCGTCTTATAAGCCACCCAACCTATTTATGCAGGCGTCCCATCCACCAAAGTCCAAGTACCAACCCTACTCAGTGCCATCCTCTCCGCATTGCTATTTCACTATATTTATTCAATCGGTTTACGAAATAGAAAAAAATAGGATAAAATAAGTATTTTATAAGCATACAATAAGATAATAATGATATAAAAATATTATTATTTAATTTTATTGATAAAATGAAATAAAATAAATAAAAATAATTTTAGAATAATAAAAGAATAAGTAATAAAAAACAATAATACCCTTTATTAGAATATATGATCATTTATTTTTAAATATTAATAATCTCTTTTATTTAAAATATTAATAATTTAAATTTTAATATTTTATATATAATTTAAATATTATTATGATTAAATATTAATAATTTTAATTAATTTTTAAATTTAAACAATTTATAATATATAACTAAAAACTTAAACTCTTTATTATAATAATATTAATTTTCATCAAAAACAAAAATACTCTTTATATAATTTAGTAAAATTTATACCAAAAAGAAAAAATTAAATAAAATTTTCTTTTTTAATCATTTAATTTTTATTTGTATTAAAACTTTAAAATTTTAATAATTTAATAATTTTTATTATTTAAGTATTAGTATAATTTTTTGTTTTGTATTTTTTCTCTATTTGCATTTTTCATTTTTTTAATTTATATTTTCATTTAATAATTTAAACATTAATATTTTAAATATTGGTATTCCTTTTATAATTTAAACATTATTATGATTAAAATATTTATAATTTTATTTTTCAATTTAAAATATTAATTTTGTAGCTCTAGATTTGTAAGTTTTGGAAGTAAGTAATGACATTTTAATCCAAAATATTTTAAATTTTATTCCCATGGGTGTAAAATAACTAATATCATTATAGCATGTTTAGTTGGGGAATGGCTTTATTCTCAAGAATTTTGGTTCCTTTATTTGGTTGAGAAATAGTCCAAGGAATCTCTGAAATTTTTCAAAACTAAGGAGTGGTTAATACCACCGTCCTCTATGGTATTAGCTATTCCATAGTTGAGGAATAAATTTCAAAAATAATAAAAACCAAAATACCCCTTACAAACTTGAAAAATTACAACTCTATTTGTATAAAATATTGTTTTTCTCTCTCTCCTCTTTCTCTCCCTTGATTCCAACTTTAAATAAAATGTTAATATTTTTAAAATATTAATATTAAGTTATAAATAAAATATTAATAGTTTAAAATATTAAAAATTAAATTATAAATAAAATATTAATATTCAAATTATCAATTACTAATAAAATAAATTATAAATTATTACTATTTAAGAATAAAATAAATTAAAAATAATTAAGCATAATATCATTTAAATTATATATATAATATTAACAATTAAATCATCAATTATTAATATTTTAAATAAATTATCAATTATTAATATTTAAAAAATAAAATAATAAAAAATTAATCATAATAATATTTAAATTAAATAAAATATTAATATTTAGATTATCTATTATTAATATTTTAAATAAATAATCAATTACTTTTTAAGGAAATCTTTTTAAGTTTAAAACCTTTTTGAAGAAATAAGATGGAAGGTTTGAAAATTTGTTAGGGTTAGTGATCACCAAGTAAAAAAAGGTTAAGAAAAGTGGATGAAACTAATATTTATAGTGATTCGGTCCATTTGACCTACATCCACTATCTTAATCTTCACAATTAAAGATTTTTAATTTAACTTCATTAAAACTAGTAGAATTAACAGCTTACATCAAATTTTTATAAGATAAGCTTCTAGCCCAAACTCTAAATCCTTACAACAATTCCTTTAGAGCATCTCGCATACTCTAATCAAACAAGAACAAGAAGAAGATGAAGTACAATGATCACTTAGCTTATCTAATGCATACAAGCTCAAGCTCAAGCAAGTTTACAAAGAATAAGAGTGAAATACACTTGCAAAGCGAAGCTTTTTGGAAATTCTAAGCTCCAAATCACTTTGGATGGCTTTTCTTTATTTATGATCATTGGAGAGGTTTTAAATATTTGAAAGATCACTTCTTAAATTAAGTGTCTAACAAATAGCATTTTCTCTCACTTCCTATATCTCTATTAATTCTCAACTATTTATCTCATTTTTCATTAAAAATAAGTAAAAGTCAAGGTAATTAATAAAATGACATATTCTCTCACTTCTTTAATTATGTGCCTAATAAATTTTAAGTTTTTATCACTTCTCAATTCTCACAATACTATTAATTCTTAACTATTTCTCTTATTCCAATTAACTAACGATAATATATATTTAATAATCTCCAATAACTATTTTTTTCTTATATATAAAATTAATTATCTTTTTTTTCAATTTGTAATATATATTTTTAAATTCTTCTTTTTTTGTTTGCTCTTTCTTCTTTTAACTTTAATAAAAAAAATTTTTAACTTAAATAAAAAAGACATCATTTGAATATTTAACTTTAAGTCGATTATTGAATCGTCCTTGACAAACAGCCTTCTGGATTACCATTGGTTCATCGTTTATTATTTTGTCTTATCAGATATTGTAAGGCTTAGCCTGTAATTGTGGATTTGTTTTGCATCACCGAGTTGTTCTGTTTATATGTTAAATCGTGCTTCAAATCTGATTGTAACTGTTGGAACAGCAATTGGTTGATTCGTCACTGCTTATGCAGATTATTAATGAAATCAAAATTATTGGCTGAGAAAAAAAAAAGCAATTTACAGAAGGCATAAAACAGAATAAGCTAGCATGTCTTACCTCTTTTAGAAAGTTAAGCTTAGCTAAAGCAATGGCAAAGAAAAGTAGGTAATTAAGGAAGCTGTACAATTGCTGTATTGGGTAAATTGTCCTGTTTAAACCCAAAATGGACCACTTTGAGCTCTCCAAATGCTAGCTTTGCTGCTTTATAACTCCATGTTGTAAAGTCAGGAGAGCTTTCAATGTCCACGAGGTTGGGGTAATCGAATAGAAGAAAACCAACCCTTTAGGTAATTGCTGCAAAAGTAAAAGGTAGCAAATTTGAGTCTGCTGAATTGAGACTTGTTCTGCTTCCGCTTTACGAGGTGGGCACTTGAAAACGCAATCTTCCCTTCAGCCATTGAAACAATGTCATCAAATTCGAATCGATACAAAAATTGTGGCTCCTACTATGTGTGTGGACTGCTGAAGACAGGTGGCAATTTGACAGGTAGTGGAGCTGTCTAGGCCTGTTGATATTTCCATCAATAAGGAGAGCTTTTACTGGACCCATCACCGTTTCACCTGTTAGACATGAAGATCAAAACATTTTGCACAACAAATTAATTTATAAATTCACTGGGAATTGTCCTGATATCAAATAAAGGTTTCTAAGTATTTGTATTGAGATTCTGATTGTTAACTTTTCTTTTCTCTTTTGAAAGTTCCCAACATGGAAATGGTTACTAATCTGGCCCAGAAGTTGATGCTCCAGCGAAGAGCATTGGTCTGGCTTCTTGGGTTTTAATGCTGAAATACCAAACTCGCTTGAATAAGCAGGTAACTTTGACTTCTTTTCTCGGTGGTTTTGTAGACCTTTGAATAAGTGGCAAGAGTTCAAGTCCTCATCAAATAATTTGAGTCGGCTTCTTAACAGGGTTGGTCGGCAGTCCATGCTCGTGGTCGTGACTGGTGCGTTTTAGAAGCTGCGGACTGCGGTCTAACGTGAAGGCTAACCGGGTCATACGCTTGGGTCAAAAGCCCATGGTCTAATAATTAATAACTGTCTTTTTCCTTCATCAAAAAGAAAATATGTGTCTTTTTCCATTGCTAAAATCCAATCATCTATGTTGTACGCAACACCTTTGTTATGAATGAAACAACTGGCATACGATATGATTATTTCATCCAATAATCAACATACAATCTGGTAAAGAACATTGTCTATCCTATCAATGTTGACTAAAAATCTTCTTGCTTTTTTCATCACATTAGTTGATGATTAGCACATTTTTTAATCACATGGTGATTAGCACTTAAAAACTATTCAAAAAGCCAGCTACTGTGCTATGATTTTCTACCACATTTGTACCAAGCCTCCATTGCATTTTTATTTCTCACATTAGAGGTGTGACCGGATTTTCATGCCAGTTGAGCAAAGAATTAGTAGGTAAAAAGGATGGACCCAACAGAATTCACATGAATAATCCGTTGGTTAGAGTACAGGTATGACATGTAGAAGATGATGCCATAGCCCATAGCTCAAAAAAAAAAAAAGGAAAAAAAGGGTTCAAAGCTGGCTTAGGTTAATCTGAGACTAGGAATAAGAGATCAGTTAATTCATTTACAAAAAGGCAAAAACACAAATCAGTGACCAAACCATAGGAGAAGTTACAAATAAATTACGGTTAGAATTCTAATGTAAATTTGGAACTCGAATTTCGATCATCTCATGATACAACTTACTTTGCATTGTTTTTTTCTTCATTTTAATTTTAAAGAAGGAAAAATTTCATCGGAAACCTGAGATGCAGAACTCATGATCTGCATGAATGACAATTGTAGCAAAAGCAGACCAGTCCCTGTCTTAATTTTCCAAACAGCCCATTAATTTTAAGCCATTGGTTCTGCATGCGAATCATCAACAGACAAATTCCATGTTTGATTCTGCATTTTTCATTTTCCAATGAGCTAGTAAGCGGTAGTAAAATTCATCAACAGACAAACAGTGCATGTTACTATTACAACTCTGCCTTTGATTCTCCTGAAATCCTAACATATGAATGTAAATACCGCCCTAAGTTAGGGAGCATTTTGACAATTTACACATTTTACCTATCTGTAATCCATTCTCATTTCACTCTATATATAGAAAAATCTTCATTCATTAACTGTCCAAGTCTAAGCTCTTTCAATAACACAACAGTCAAGGCTTTACACTTTCACTGACCAAAAACGAAAAATGAAGAGTGCAAAAGACCCTTTGCCATTGGCATTTCTTCCTCTAGCCTTCGCTTTGCTTCTTTGTTTTGCTGCTTGTGTAGGTGCGTTTGTTTCCATTATCACTTGTATCACTTACTGTTAAGCATTTTATTCGTCCTTAATGTTTTGATGTATGATAAAGATTGTATCACTTGGAGTCTAAATCTGCCGGTATTCTAGGTGCATTTTAGTAGTTTCTTCTCCATTAATCTCTTTTTGCTGTTTTAAACTCTCTTTTTTTTTTTGGTTTAATTTGATTTTCAAGTATTTTGTACCCCTAAATTGGGTTGTGCCCCGCATGCAGATTCAAGAAAACATGGTAATGGGAGAAACCGGGACGAGAAGGTATGTCCCAAGGAGCAAACAAAGCAGTTCTGATAAAGTTTGACTGGTAGTAGATTTTTAATGGGTTGGGAACCAAGTGGGTGTTAGCAAGAGATACGGATTTCTAAGAATTAAAACCGAAATTTAACAGTATTATAATTGCTCTTATTTATGCCACCCTGATTTCTTTGTTAACATACTGAAAGTAACAAGGGTCAAGTGTTTAGGCAATTGATGGTGGAAATACATGGTGCATTGCCAAGCCATCCACGGAAAATTTTAGGCTGAGCAGCAATATTGATTACAGCTGCGCACAAAATGGAGTGAATTGCAAGCCAATCCAACCTGGTGGTACCTGCTTCCGCCCAGATACTATCATCTCGCATGCTTCTTACGCCATGAATCTCTTCTACAGAGCTGCAGGGAAGAATACTTGGAACTGTCATTTCAATGGCACTGGCATCATCGTTTCAGAAAACCCATGTAAGTTCTTTTTCCAGATCCTCTATGTTTCAGTTCTACTTGGACTTGTGTTTTGCTAGAAATTGTTGATGTTTGGCAGCCATTGGTAGCTGTAACTATCCGCTCTGATAAAAAGACGCCCGGGACTACCGAGAAGGACATGCTCTAAAAGTTCGTTTTGTTATGAGATTCTAGCTGCGGTTCATTGTGTTGTCTGTTTTAATTGATTTGGGAGAAAAGTTAAATTTCAAATTGTTGAAAACATTTTATCTAGCGGCTTTCATTTCGATACAAAATGCATACTCCTACGAGAACTGGTTTCTACAAATAATACTTAATTAATTAGAATAACGTGAAGATGCAAAGTGGGCCAGGGGCTGGCTGAAACAGATGTGATCACTTGACCTAAATGGAGCCTGGAGTATGACAACAATGTGAAAAGAATGGGACCTCTAGCAAGACAACGTGAAACTTAAAAAAGAGAGAGGGCGAAAGAAATAGAGCAATAATTTGATTATCCCAACGTGCCACGTTACTACATTTGATTATCCCACAAGCAATCATAAGAGGGGGCAGCTTGTTACTTCCAGTGCCATCAATATTAAGCAAAATTCTCATACATTTTTGCGACACCGACGCTGATAAAGGACACAAAATCAAAACAACCCAGACAAAAGAGCAAATAAAAAAGGGAAAAGAAAAAGAAAATGAATAAGGCCATCATATGTATGAGATTAGAACATTAGGGGGATTGAGTAGAGTTATAGGACGGCAGCACGGAAAAATCCTGATTATTCAGCACTGTGAATAAGCAAGCACTGAGCAGCAGGGACAGGCAAAGCTCCATTTTAAGATTGAGGCTTCTCCCACTTGAGGGGCTTTACAACTTCCCAGGTGAAATCTGGGTCGTCCCTTCCAAAGTGTCCATAGGCAGCTGTCTTCAAGAACCGGCCATTGCCACCCCTCTTGAGGTCCAGGTTGATGGTGATCATACCAGGCCTGAAGTCGAAGTTCTCCTTCACAATTTGGAGGATTTCCTTGTCGGGAATCTTTCCAGTTCCATAGCTATCCACAAAGACGGACAAGGGCTCAGGCACACCAATGGCGTAGGAGACCTGCACGAGGCACCTGCGGGCAAGCCCATTTGCTACAATGCTCTTGGCAGCCTGCCTAACAATGTAAGCACCACTCCTGTCCACCTTGGTTGGGTCCTTTCCAGAGAAAGCACCACCACCGTGGGCTCCCCAGCCACCATAAGTGTCAATAATGATCTTACGTCCAGTAAGACCTGCATCACCGTGAGGACCACCAATGACAAAGCGGCCAGATGGGTTGAGGTGGAAGATGGTCTTCTCATCAAGGTACTTCTCAGGGATGACAGCCTTGATAACATGCTCTTTGAGGTCAGCGGCAATTTCATCATTTGTGACAGTCTCGTCATGCTGGGTGGAGATGAGGACAGTGTGAACACGAACTGGAACCATGGCACCATTATCGTTGTAGTACTCAACAGTAACCTGGGTTTTACCATCTGGCCTTAGCCAGGGGCAGGTGCCATTCTTCCTAACCTCAGTAAGACGTGCCCCAAGCTTAGTTGCAAGGACATGGCTAAGAGGCATGAATTCAGGGGTTTCGTCAGTGGCATAACCAAACATATGGCCTTGGTCACCAGCTCCAATCTCTTCTGGGCGCTTGGTAAAGTGGCCATGGACACCCTGGGCAATATCAGGGCTCTGCTGCTCAATATTGACCAGGACCTTGCAGTTGTCAGCATCAAGACCCACATCATCAGAAACAAATCCAATGGTGCGGCAAGTGTCACGGACAATCTTCTCATAGTCTATATTGGCTTTGGTAGTAATCTCTCCAAAGACCATGACCATGTTAGTCTTGGTGCATGTTTCACAGGCAACCTTGCTGTCAGGGTCCTGGGCAAGGCAGGCATCGAGCACAGCATCAGAGATCTGGTCACAGAGCTTGTCGGGGTGTCCCTCGTTTACGGATTCAGATGTGAATAGAAAGGTCTCCATTCTAACAAGCTGCACATTGCAAGAACACCAAAGCAATCTTAGTACAATTAGTGAACGGCGACTTCATAAAAGGAATCTTAATTAGAAAGTTATGCCAATAGAATATGCTGATGAGAAAAGACTGTAGAATAAAAGAACAAAATAAAAAAGAACTTCAAAAACGATTGAAAATTTTCACGCTTGGAGAATCAGCATAAACCATAACAGTTTCATTCTTTCTAGGAAGATCATATTCTAAGGAGAGTGAGAACAATAAGTAAAGAAAGAAATAGATTCCTTTAGCATCACAACAACATAAGATCAGAATCTAAATTTTAAAAATCGAACAATTTCCAAATCATGGAGCCTGTTGCAATTCTACATTTATATTTATCACAGTAATTTCTCATTATTTGAAAGCTCAACTGTTAAGTTAACTTCTAATTCTCTGAAACAAGCCACCAGGTTTTCCTTTCTTCAAGATCCAAAAGGGGACCTTATAGACTCAGCCTTCACAATTATTCACTAGCAGAAGGGCGTGTTTGTGGGATTGTTGGACCAGTTATCAGATTTGACATAAGAAAAAGACACCTACTTTAAAATACCACGAGCAGATACAAAGTTGCAGGAGTTTAAGCCTTCACAAAAATGACTGACACACACATCAACATCAAAGTGGCTGAAAATCACACCAAAATCCATAAGTTTTATACTCAATTGATAGATCAATAAGAACCATTACAGATCCCGTAGATCCTACTCAAAACTGAACTACTTTTTAAGTAAAATAAAAATTCAATCAAAGCGTAAGACACCATCAATTACCGCCAACCGACAATATTTATTTCATGTCAACTCCAAACAAAATGAACCTTTTGTGCATCGATAATTCAGAGTCAAACCTCAGAATCTCAGATCTTTAAATATTTTCCAAACCACTATACTAAAAGCTCCAAAACAAACCGATAACGCACAGATCTGCAAGCATTTCAGTCAAACTTCATTCAAAAACGAGAGACAAGCAGATAATGCAAAGACAGAACACTCATTTTCCGCTGCTACAGCAAACAACAAAGCAAATCTCCGCATAGAAACGACAGAGCAAAGCAATAAACATAACAAAAAATATATAGAGAGAGAAGGAAAAAGCAACCTGGGACAAAGATTAACGTGCGGATCTGAGTCCTTGGTTTTGAGAGAGAGGGAGAAGAGTGTTGAGCAGACCAGACCTCAGAAGAAGCGGAACTCAACGGCACAATGAATCCAGTCCCAAACGTGGATATTTATAGAGGAAATGGATGTGTTACGGGTTACTGGTTTAGTCGGTCTGGATTCTTTTATTTTTCTTGAGTCTCGTGGGAATCTGGTAAAATCAGCATCTAACGGCTGATATACAAGTTTCGGAACACACAAATTTAGCCGTTGGATGTCAGGAGATTGTCGGGTTGTCAGTGATTGGTTGGGGTTGGTGGCGGAGAAAGACATTTGCTTGTTTTTTGGATATAAAGAAAAATAGTTATTAGGATTTATTATTATTATTCCTTTTTTTAATGCTACTATTGGATTTTACCGGGAAACTTCGGTCACTCACCAACCTACGCCGGTGATTTGGCTTGATGGCTTTGCTTGAGCCGTTTGCCTCATTGGCTTGTATCCCCACATTTTCTTATTTTAATTTTACATTTATTAATCCATCTTTGATTATTACTTTAAAAAAAAAATCCTTCAATCTGCCAATATTAAATTGGTTAAACCCAAGATATATTAAAGCAACAGACAAACAATTTGGCAGGGAGAAATAGACGTAGCTTTGGCATTGGTATGTCACGTGTTTTAGCGTGTTAGTCAATTTATATTTCTGATATTTTGTTCTTGTATTAAATGAGATGTTTTCCTTTTTCAATATCATACTTTATGAGGTCAAATACTTGTTCGAGCATGCATATAATATGAAATTGTATGCATATATGTTAAAGAAATTAATCAATCCATCAGGCCTCCTCCAAGTTAAAGTATTATTCTTCCAACGCTTTTTCCCATGCCTTTTTACTCATCATGAGTCAAAAAGAATATAGCGGCACAACATGATTGAAGGAAGAAGTGCCAAACTACCCTTGTGGAATGAGTCCATCAAGTAATGTTTCCATGGGCGTTTGGGTCAAAAAAATAGGCCATAAGCCGCCGACATTATAGTAGCGTATCAAGCGGGACACCTTAAAGAAGAAATGTTGGAAGAATAACTTCATGCTCATATCATTGTCCTTAGAAGCAAAATTATGAAGGGAATGGTCTTTTCTACAAGTTGTCCGCTTCCACACACAAGTTTTTTCACCCTTTGATATCCTTTTAGTAAAGCAAAAAGGAAAAATCCCTCTTTCACAAGGTTGTATAATGAATGCCATGACAAATTGTAATCCATCTTCCTCAAGATGCCAAATTGCCACTCCTTTTTTTTTTTTTATAATATACGAATTTGTTGTCTTGCTTGAAAAGGCCAAACAAGCATTAATTGATTTGTATTGTTATGTATATAGTTGGATAGGAGAAAGTAATAATTTCTTGCACCCTTAAGATTAATACTGTTTTTTGTTATTCTGAAATTAAGGTACAAACTTTTACCACTTCCATGTTTTTGGGTTCTGAATCAAAGCAAATTGAAGCCAATTTGTTGTCTAAGATGTCAAGGAATTCAGGTTGCTTGGTACTTATTCAACATACGTAGAACTCACTGTTTGTAATGAGTTTCAACTAACACTCAAAAGAGCTATCATCATAGATCAAAAGCTTAAAGCTCAATTTTTTTTTTTATTTGGGTGATAGCGAAAGTTTCCAACCACCTTACCTTATTCTTCCATTCATTGATCCAATTCATTTCAAGATAAAACCAAACAAAACAAAGAAAGCAAGCAAGAAAGAAATAAGGTTTCAATCTTTTACAATCTTATAAGAAAGTAAACTAAAATATTTCTCAGCTTTTATAAAGATTTAAGTGAAGTATTTTATGAATTAAGGAATGTTTTCAAGCAGTATAGATAGTGACACGTTTTTTCAATATATATATATATACACATATATAGTGATATGAATTCGAGGTTAAATGGGAAAAGACGACAAGATGAAAGTCAAATTTAAGTCATTATTGTAAATTAGAACTCATAACACATTGTTTGTTTTATAGCAACATTATCACATTCAAAACATGATCTCTTTCCATGTCTAATGTCAAAGAAAACTCGTATCCGGAGTGGGGTTGGTCAGTTTTCAACAACTTGAGTATCTCAAGGTCGTAAATTCAAGTCAAAACTAGGATTTTTTTTAGCATTAAATACTAATTAGCTTCTTCAACGAGGTTAGGGAAATTGGTTCAACTTTCACCAACCATGCTGAGCGAAGAAAGGTGTGAAATTGAGAAAGCGGAGCGAGAAGCCGGGAAGCCGTGTGAGCCGAGGAGGGTCGACGCGAATGGAGCCCTGTAGCCCGCAAAATGGTGTGGCAATAACTGGACAAACTAGTGGGTGCAGTTGAGACTGGTTAGGGGCCAAGCTAGGTGCGATTCCTATCAAGAAAGGCAACCGGTGGTCGTACGGGTTATACCAGGCCTATACGGGATTTTCCCAAAAGCTTGGGGAGAAAACTGCCACGTGACGGTTGTTGATGCTTGGTGAGATGACTTGTCAGTAAAATTGACCTTCGAATCCTCTTTTCTGTTCCTTTCCTTTTTCTGGAAGAGAATAATAACTCTGGCGGGGTGGGGGTGGGTACAAGATTTTTGAAAAGTAGATACTAACTGTTTAATCTATGTTCTAGTATTTGATGTAATAATGAAACGTAAAATTACTTCATGACACTGTTAAAACTTGGTTTGGATTTGATGGATCCAATTATTTTAAATTTATACTGGAAACCAAAAAGAAAAGAATGCATGACGTGAGAATAATGACGAAGTATGCAAAGGCATGGGTTTTGCCTCATAGCTTGCTTTAATTAAATTAATTAAATAAAATTGGTTATTTGGCTCTCTTTGCCGTATGGATTTTTGGCCTCCACTAGTATAGTTATGTTTAATATAAGTGAGTTATGTGTGGGTATAAGAATTTTTCTATCACATAAAATCTGACTGCTACCAGCGAGTATTTAATTAGTAAGACTTAAGGCCTTAGGAGCTATTTGATCCCAGCCCTACGAGTTGCCTTATCCCTGAAATCCGACGGTTGGGAATCATTGCAATTCTCGGTTCTTTTTTGTGGACTTTCCCAAGTAAAATTTAGGGGAAACCTTTGGGTAACCGGCAGTCACCCCAAACAGGAGTCACGGACCAACCGGTGGTACCTTTTATTTTTCTTTGGACAGTAACGGTGCGTTAAAATTTTAGATGTACGACATATATATTATATTTATAAAGGAAATTTTTTAAATTCTACAAAGGCATTAATTTTTTGCAACACATCTTTTTCGGTTTATCTTTTTGTTCTTTATTGCTCCGCTCAATTAATTATTATATTTTATTAATTCTTTTTTATTCATTTATAAATCACACGAAAATTCATTTGTTTTTATTATTGTTATGTTATTAGAATTTTCAATTGTAATATTTGAGTATTTAGCTTATTAGTTGTTCCTTAATCTTTTTACTTAAAAAACTAAATTCGAATTCTCTATCTCTAAGTTTAAAAAGAATTTTCTATTATAATTTCTAAACTAAATGGATTCAAATTTCTCTTTCCCTAAATCTAAAAAAAATTATTATAATTTCTAAATTAATAATTCATAAATTAAGTGAAATTCATCTTCACTGTTGCTTGCTTCATTGATATGTCATGTAGATAGTTTTATGAGCATTAATTAATCAGTCTTTTCCTTTTTCTAGGAAATTAGTAGGTGAGAGTATTGATATTATTGGGCTAATTAAGAAATTAGCTCAACCAAATTATTAGATTAGACCTTATGAGAAAGTATAAAAAGTAAAAAAGCTTTTCCGTCACAATATACCCAGTTGAGCCCTCTCTGGGTCCAAGTCCCCCGTTCCCAGTCCCACCAACCGACAAGATCACTAGCCCTCCCACTCGCTAATCTATAAATGTTTATGTATCCAAACCTCAGTCTGTCACCATTATTATCAAGGTAAAATGTTTCGTCTCTATCACAATTCGACAGTACTGGAATGGGAAATGCCGAACCTTATGCAGCGGCAGTGACATGGCATGCATGTGAGGACTGAGAAGTCCCATAACGGAAAAGGGCACATGATTTTCATGGGTGGCCAGTATTTAATTTGCACTGAATTTGACTATTTAAAAAGGAGGCACGGAAACTAATGGAAATTGAACCATGTCTTTCACCAGGACATGGGTGCCACTTACAGAATTGCAAACTATGACATTAACAGTAGTACGTCTTTATGTTTTTTCGGTTATTATGTCGCAATTAATAATTAAGCTGAATTATTGATGAACCAAACCCTTCAAATATCTTCAGTCTTATCCAAAGAGAACAAGGAAATAGATTATTGATGATTGAAAGACAGCCAGCTGTTTCCAAGTTAGCCTTACTGATTCTAATTTTATGCCAGGAAAATGTTTTAACTCTGACTTTTTAGAGTAAAGAGTTATTAAAACTGTGTTTAACCACAATCTGACTATTATATTTAACCAGACTATTATTTCAATTTAAGAAAGTTGGTCTAAATAGGATAGAAATGCTCTATGTTATTAATGATAAATCAGTAACGCACAACGTGAAAGAGCGAGAAATGTGTAATACGCGGAATACTCTTCATGGGCAAGATTCAATGTATTTATCCAACTACAATGAGGGGGCAGGCAACCCCTGGCATGGCCAGTCAACCCAGCCAACTACACAACTAAATAATATCCGTCACGCAATCCCATGACAGTGTGCCAGACTTGGACTTTGAATCTTCTTGATCTTTTATCATTTTACTAGTATTAATTTTTTGTTTCGGTGGCTTGGTTTGCCGTCGGTCAGATAATTGACCGATGACCGCTACGACGTAGGCTGTACAGAAAGGCTGACGTTGCATTAACTGGCTAGGCTTCAGGCTGACGAACCCCAATTAATAGCCCAATATGCATAATTCCTCGGTTACTCAGACTGCTGGAAAGTGCGGACCATGTGAAGAAACTGAGAAGGTAAATCAGATTTTTGAATGCATGCTTCTACCTAGTAAGCCAATCAGATCAGAGAGAGGATGCAGATTCACAGGGAGAGGATTGTGGACCTCACCAGACCCTACATAAGAGAAACCGTCGTATCGCTCCATTTCATCAAGTCACACAATCA